GACCAACAAAAAAAAAAAAAAAAAAAAAAAAAAAAAAAAAAAAAAAATCAATGAAAAATCACTCAAAGGTGTAACATGAAGGACAGCACAGTTTAAACAAATGTTTAATTCAAACGTAATAACGAAATGACATAAATTTATCACCTTTTCTTGAAAAAGTGTCAAGATGACTTGATGGGGCAGGGGGGTGGGGGGTGGGTGGGGGAGAGAGGTTCTGAGGTAGCTCTGTTGTTGATGCAGGGGATGGCGGTTATCATCATCATCAAAACCACCAGGTGCAGAGATAGCAAGAACTGCAGATGCTAGGGTCAGAGATAACAGTGTCGAGCTGGAGGACCACAGGGTCCCAACCCAAAACATCAACTTTCCTGCTCCTCAGATGCTGCCTGGCCTGCTGTGTTCCTCCAGCTCCACACTGTGTTATCACCTTCAGGTGCAGTTTTGTTTGCAGGGTTAGGGTGAAAAATAGTTAATCCAGACGTGACGGCTGTGGTTCATTGTCTCCTGACTGCTTCTTGGGGGTTGGCTTAAAAAAAGACATCCAGTTTTTCCTGCTTTGCCCTTTCTCTTTGTTCATGAAGGAGCAATTCATAGGGTGCCAAAGATCTTATTTCACAAACTGCTGCATTCTGCATTGTAATTAATGTCCTCTAATCATTTGAACTACTTCTCAGTTTCCCTCAGGATAGAAGGCAAAACAGAAGTGGAAAGCTCTCTGGTGTTGTATCCTAGACTTCATCATCTTCATCTTCAGCTTCCACTTCCCCCTCAGCGACAAAATGTTGTAGATCAACTGTAGAGAGGTCTTCACAGTGGGACTCAAGCAGCTCTTCAACATCCTCATTCAAATCCAGCTCGCTTTGCAAGATCAACACAATGTTCTTTGATTCGTGGGAGCTCCTCTGACTGATCAAAGCTTTTTAAATCTTGAAAAAATCTGGGAGAAGCTTCCACCAAACTGCATGCAAGCAGTCCTTACTGACATCACCCCAGGCCTCCACAATAATGTCAATTGCATTCTTGATGTTACAGCTCTTGCAAAATTGAAGAACACTGTCCTTATCGCCCTCAGTAGCTGCAGTCAGCCTCTTAAATGTGCACCTTAAATAATAAGTTTTAAAAGCTGCTATTGCACCCTGGTCCATGGGTTGAAGGAGAGAAGTTGCGTTTGGGGGTAGAAATAGCACTTTGATGTTTTCAGAAAGCTCACCAATGGTCTGAGGATGGCTTGGCACATTATCAAGGATGAGGAGAATCTTGAAATCTACATTTTATTTTATTTTCCTGCAATATTTTCGAAAACCATCTTCAAAAACATTAACAATAGAAGGTCAGAAAAAATTTTCCCAGTCATCCAACACTTTTGCTCGACTTAAAGTAGATGCCTAGAGTAGACTTAAAGTAGCCTTTCAAGGCTCGTGGGTTGGCAGAGTGGTACACCACCACAGGCTTAAGCTTGAAGTCTCCACTGGCATTGACACCCAGCAGCAGTCGTACAATCCTTTGCCACCTTAAAGCCTGGAGCATGTGCTTCATTCATACAAATGTAGGTTCTTAATGGCATTCGCTTCCAGTATAAACCGGTTTCATCCAAAGTGCAAATCTGATCTAAGCTGTAGCCTTCTTCATCAATTAATTTTTTTTACTATGGAAGGAAATCCCATCGCACGACCCTCGTCTGCGCCGGCAGTTTTGCACATAAAACTTTACGTTATGAAGAGCGTAGTAATTCTTAATACCAGTATATCAGCCACTTCTATCGCTAAAGGCAGGCACATCGGCAGGATTTTTGGCTTGTTTTGTTAGATCTTCATAAATTATTAAGGCTTTCTCTTTTATGGTGAGAAGCGTCATCCCAGATCACTTCTGCGTTTGCTCGTTTGCTTAGAAGCTGCTCCATCTCCTCACGTTCCTTTGTCCGTAACCTCCCAGATTTGCTAGCACTCAGACTTGTTCCAGCAATACAATTTGGTTTAATCTTTTCTGCACTGTCTCTAATAGACCATAAGGCAGACTCCTTCATTCCTGTTGCATGAGCAATATCACATGTTCTCTCATTACGCTCAAAACGTTTTACCACATCTAGCTTCTCTTCCAGAGTTACAGCCTTTCTTTTATGTACACCACCTGTAATTTTATCACCAGGATACTTCTTGTTATCATTCATACCACTTTATCCTCGCATTTTGTGGGTAACGCGGCAGAATTGTACAGTAACCTCTCACAGAAAGCGCGAGGATCCTTGATGCCAGCGTGGGGACTCTTTCCGCATATGCTCAGGACAAAGCCCATGAGCCAATTGTGTGATGTCAACGTTGGAATCATTTAACAGGCAACACAAAGTTTGCATTTTACAAATACCATTCTCCTATTCGTCAATTGTGTTATAGCCAATTCGCATTGCTAGAACATGCGTTATAGGAGAAACCTCATACCCCAAAAAGCATATTTGTTGTAAACCATTAAAGGTACTAATCTGTCAAATGCTAACCACAGTTTGCCAACGAACATGCATTTGAAAGTAGTTTTCCAACATACCACAGCCAATCTGACCAACATGCCTTCACCGTTTCCTTTATTTAAATTTAAGACTCTTGCAAAAGAAATGTAAAATTCCATCATATATTGTAGTCAGTTTTTCCAAAGGCTCCTTTACTATGATACTATTAATAGCTCTTTTCATTTTGCAATACTAGATCTAACTTGGCCAATCTCTAATTGGTTCCTCAACACACTGTTGTAGAAATCCTTCCTGTGTACACTCCAGCAATCTGTCCTCCACAGCAGAGTTAATTAGTTCATGCAAGTTATATGTAGGCTGAGGTTTCCCACGACTACAATATACTCCTGCTAGATGCACCTCAAATTTCCTGATTTATACTGTGTCCTATAATACCACTACTGTTTGATACAAGTTGTCTATAGGCCAATGTTGGCCTTGCTGTTTCTGAGCTCCACCTAAATGCTGACTGAATGCTAACTTCTGACTGAAGATCCTCTCACCTATGAATGAATCTCATCTTTTACTAACTGTACTACACTGCCTTCTGCTCAGTTTTACCTATCTTCCTAAATGTTGAATACTATTAAACATTCAATTCTCAGCTTGGGAATCCTGCAGCCACAACTCTAATGGTAATTTGATCTTAACTCCTTAGGTGTTAGCAAATATAGGAGTATAGGAAGGAACGGCTTATGTAATCAGGGATAACTGGTACCTTTCAATTATATACCAAAATTCCAAATCTAACGTCTGAGTCTTATGGTGAGGGAACCAAATGCATTATTTCCAAGTTTGCTGCCAACACAAAACTAGGTGGGATTGAGAGTTGAGAGGAGGATACAAGGACGTTTCATGGTGTTCTAAACAAATTCAGCGTATGAGCAAACACATGGCATAATGAAGTAGATAGAAGTGAAGTTATACACCATGCTGTGAAAACCAGAAAGGCAGAGTATTACTTAAATTGTGATATATTGCACAGTATGGATGTACAAAGGGATCTGTTGTCTTTGTACCCAAGTCAATAAAAGCAGACAGGCAGATGTAGCAAGTAATTTGGAAGACAAATGGTACATTGGCCTTCATTTGCAAGAGGGTTTGAGTTCAGAAGTAGAAATGGCTCACTGAAGTTATACAGCACCTTGGTAAGATTGCAACTGGAATATTGGGTGCAGTTTTGGACTCCCTACCTCAGACTGGGTATACTTGCCTTACAGGGAGCAAAGTAAAGGTTCACTTGGCTGATACTGGCAATTGTAGGCCTGTGGCATGAGGAGTGGTTGATTTGTTGGGCCTATATTGACCAGAGTTTCAAAGAAGACGACGGGATCTAATTGAAACCTATAAAATGCTAACAGGCTGGACAGACTAGATGCAGAGCCGACAGAGTCTAGAACCAGGAATCATGACCTCAAAATATGGAACAGACCACTTAGGACTAGGATGAGGAAAAATTTATTCATTCAGAAGGTGGCTAACCTGTGTAATTCACAACCTCAGAACATCTGAGAGGCTGAGTCACTGAGATATTAAAGGCACAGTTTCTGGAGAAAAATAGGGAATATGACATCAAGATGGAAGATCAGCCATGATCATACTGAATGACAGAGCAGTCTCGAAGGGCAAAAGGCCTACTCTTGCTCCTAAGCTCTATACTTCTTATTTCTGTTCATAATTTCAGTGACAGTAAAGTACAAATCTCATCCTAAATGCCTACATTGAGAGAAATGTTTCATTTACACATTAAGAATACAATCTCTTATGCCTGAATAGGTCTCCTACAGTCTATCAGGATGTACGTTTTGCTCATTATACCTTTGTGCAGTTTTTTAAATTGTTAAAAAAGTGACTGCTTTATTTAATCTCAAGCTTCCACATAATGATTTGCCTGACAGGCATGTCTAAACAGTGATTAAAAAAAGTCAAATGCTTACAAATCATGGTTGGATTTCAATCTGGGGATTGGTTTACTGCACCCCAGGTAACTATCAGGGGCGGGCCTGTTGTCACATGACGAGCTCGCCCCTCAGCCATTTAACAGCCTTTGGGTCATTCATTAACTTAATTTGAGCTATCTGCACCAATTGGGCTGCAGTCCCACAACCAAGAGCTGCCAGCAATCAAATTATTCGCAGATGTCTAGTCCTTGCAGTGCACCAGGAGCGCTGTTCATTTACAGGATTGCATCCAGTTCCAAACAATAATTACTGCTGAAACTGGATGCAAAACTTGGTTACTGCATTGGTGGCAGTGGAGTTCTCACCAAGCTGGCAGTCCTTGAAGGAGGCAGATGTGGAAAGTGGAGGGCTAAAATGGTCAGGGTTGGGAGCGGGAGGTAAAAGGATGGTAAGTGACCCCAATTGGAAATCGGGAGTTGGCAAGAGGACAAAATTGTACCCCAAATTTCTCATACTTCAAATCCTACTTGATCAAGAACACCTCAATCTTCAAATGAACTTTATTTTGTTCACAGCATTTCACAGATCTCTTCACTTACCAACTCCATATAACATAGGTTGGAACATTCCAGAATGAAGATCAACGAAAATGTGAAGACACTCAGAACGACCACAAGGTTCTAAGATAGGAATAACCAATGTAGGCAAGGGTGTCTCTATAAAGGCTGTGACGGATGAAATAAAATAAAACATCAAATCATGATTCAGAATATTTCTTATAATTTCTTTGTTTATTTGATGATATCACAAAAGACTAGAAAAGTTATATTCATAGAAAATCACAAGAGAATTAAATTACTTAACTTACACTCCTCCTCACCCTCTCTGCTCACTCGAGTAACTCAGCCAATTGTGAAGAAATTAAACTTTAACTACAGCACACATTTTTGTTTTAGAATGCTGAGCAAGACAATTTGTATTTCCTTATTCATGTAGCCACATTGGATGCATTACTAAAACTAGTCATCTTAAAAGCTATGCATCAAATTCTATCTTATTGACATTATCAATATATGTAAAGAACACAGCTAAGATTTGCAAGAGGTTATAGTAATGCAGAAAGTTTTTTTTAAAAAAAAACAATAAAAACAGTAATGCTGATCAGGTAATAAATTGAGATTGAGAAAAAAAGTTAGATGGTTCAACATACAGTTATCATTGGCATTGTAGCTCTTGAGAATGGCTTTCAGCTCCTGCAGCTTCTGATGGGAACGTGCATGGACACTGTCAATCAAAAGCTTCTCTACAGATAAGTGATCAACCTGAAAAGCAGGCAACATTGATTGACATTATTAAGGTTATCACAAATCTGTTTTCTTGTAACAATTTGCTCGTCTAACTGTATTTAACATCAATAAAATTACAAATGATCTAGAGTAAATATTCATAGCACAAGTAAATGAACATTCTACTTCTTCGAAAATAGTCACATTGGTAAGCTGCAATTGAGAGATAAAGCATGCAGAGTCATAATCTCAACAATCTTGGAGCCGTGACACAACAATGTTCAAAACTTCTCTGCACCACTTCCTTCCAAGGCACTAAAAACACAAACGTAGTAAAAAGGTGATATAAACCTGAAAAACCTGGATGCATTGTATTTATGAAGCAAGTTTTATTACACTAAAATATATCTACATTAAATTTAAATGCAGGTTTACTTGAGTGATATATTGGTTGCCATATTGAATAAGTTTGCATTAATTTACTACACAATGAAAATATACATTTATTATTCACCTATGGGATGTGGGCTTCACTGGCTGTGCCAGCATTTATTGTCTATCCCTAGTTGCTCTCGAGAAGGTGGTATGAGCTGCCTTTTTGAAGTACAAAATACTCATATGCACTTATGGAACCAATGTAAATTGAAAGACATTTGTAATATGTACAAGAGCACAGAAAACTCAGGCTAACAAAATATTGTTTTAACTATAAATTATGGCAATGAATCCACAGGAATCCATTGATTTGTCAACAAGCATCTTTTTTACCTTCATAGCACGTTCTATTAATTTAGAATCGCATGCTGGTAATGGTGGATCATGCGATATCTGTAAGGGTTTTGAACAGTCACTCTCATCGATTTTTATCAAGACTTTGTGAACGGAAGCACTGCCAGTTTTTCTCCCCAAGACCTGTTGGCTAGAAACAAAATAAAACCAATGAATAATCTAAAACAAAAATTAAACCAGAAAAGATTGTAAGTATTACTTTCAGATCTGACATCATCACTGGCGAGAAAAGTACTTAGTGTTTCAGGTCTGTGACCGTTCATCATAAAAGTATGAAACAATCACTTTGTGACGTAAATCATCTTATATAGTGGTTAAGACATGAAGATCCAAAAATTAGATGATTGATAACTAACTGCTGCAGCAAACATGCAAAAGTATTATTTCAATAAATTAAAATAATTTTATTTATTTAAGTGTCTTTCATGGCCCGGGGCACCCCAAAGTGAATCAGATATTTTTAACTGTAGCTACTCTTATGATGCAAACTTGAACACCAATCTCCTTAAAGCAGCAATGAAATAACTTAGTATTTTGAGGGGCAGGTTTTATCGAGGTAGGGTCAGAGCCTTGGATGCACATCTCATTGGAAATGTGGCACTTCCAAAAATGAAACACCTGCTTAGCACTGTCCTACAGCATTAGCTTAGGTCAGTGGTGACCGATTTACTGAGATGAAAGGAGAACAAGCTAGTTAATAATAGAAGCCACTGATGGAACCTCACATGGCCGAAAGAGGTATACTTTTTTGAATTTTAAAAGATACTAAGCAAAATCAACTTTATACTCAAGAGGATGAGTTTACAATAATTATTATAAACCCCTATAGATTTGCTCAGTTCAAAAATATTTTAAAGTGTTATGAGGTTGCATTCATGCAGCTGTCATTACCCACCACGTTAGCAGTTAGTTTTACAACAGGGTTTTCTTATTACTTCAGGTGATGCTTGCCTAAATAGGTATTTGATCCCAAGTCTTCAAACAATTCAGCACTCCTCAGCTCCAGCTTGCTATAGAACTGACATTACTATGCTATTTAGTGCTTAATAACCAAACTACTGGAGTGTTTTTTTTAAAACAGTATGAAGTGAGGATGTCAATCACATAGCAAAAGTAAGTAGAATTTGAAAGATAAAAGAAAGATATATCTGACCTGGATGGAATTTATAGTTTCTAGTTCAGACAAAAATCTTTGGCTATCATGTACAAAAACAAAGTTGCTGGAAAAGCTCAGTAAGTCTGGCAGCATCTGTGAAGAAAGAAACCAGAGTTAACGTTTCAGGTCCGGTGACCCTTCATCAGACCCTCAGTCATCGGACCCGAAACGTTAACTCTGATTTCTTTCTCCACAGATGCTGCCAGACTTGCTGAGCTTTTCCAGCAACTTTGTTTTTGTTCCTGATTTACAGCATCTGCAGTTCTTACAGTTTTTATTTGGCCATCATGTGTTGTTTGTGCTGAAGTTTTAGCTTTGAAAAGCACGAAACCAAGCAAGTTAAAATGACTGGGAGCCAAAGATCTTTGCCTCAAAAGGTAAAGTACAGATTTTTATTTCAAAATGAACATAGACAATTTTTGTTTTGGCAAGAATCTGAAAATACAGGGACAAGTGCCCCATACTTTTAGTTGGCTTAAAATCACCACGTCACCATTATTATACCTAGCATTTCCGGGTCTTATTCGACTATTTATTTGGCTAGCTGCCATATAGGCCATATAGGATGCCCCATATGGGGCAGCACAGTGGCTCAGTAGTTAGCACTGCTGCCTCACAGCGCCAGGGACCCGGGTTCGATTCCACCCTCGGGCGACTGTCTGTGTGGAGTTTGCACATTCTCCCCGTGTCTGCGTGGGTTTCCTCTGGGTGTTCCGGTTTCCTCCCACAGTCCAAAGATGTGCATGCTAGGTGGATCGGCCACACTAAATTGCCCGTAGTGTTCAGGGATGTGTAGATTAGGTGGGTTATAGCAGGGTGGGTCTGGGTGGGATGCTTTGAGGTTCATTGTGGACTGGTTGGGCCGAAGGGCCAGTTTCCACGTTGTAGTGATTCTATGACAGGCTCAATGGGCTTAATACTTTACTATAAAAAATTTAATAATGTAACATTATCACTGTCCATAAAATAATTCAAAGCAACGTCAAAAAACTTCTCGTTATGAAATAGGCATTGTACTGCAAGGCTGTGCAACCATACTCCCAACATTATTGCACAGTGCATCAGGACAGAAGAGATTACAAGATGGAAAAATTGTCAGAGCTGGCATTCAACAATTGTCTGAAAAAAAGCAAATAAACTGCAGATTTCTTTTGTGATTAAAGTTGGTTTAGATGTCATTACAATATTACAGAATTGTAAATGAAAATCTGGTAATGATGATGGTGATTTTTGGAGACACAAATTTCAAGTCATGTCTCTTGATCAATTCTGGTTCACAATTCAAAAAAAGAAATGAAAAGGGTCCAGATACACAGATCGTTTCTCAAGAATAATTAGGGAAGACAACAAATGCTGGCCTTGCCAAGAGATGCTTACATCCCATGAATAAATAAAAAGCAATGAGAAATACAGAAAATAATGAAAAACACTAATGGAATACTGGCTTCTGTATCTACAGATTAGCGAAGAAACAGGCTGAACTCAGGTTTTGGTAAGACATAGCCCTGCTCAGACACACCTGGAATATTGATAGCAGTTCTAGGCATCACATGTGGAAAAGATACATGAACCTTGAAGAGACTGCCACATAGTTTCCTCAAATGACAGACGGAATCCAAGGGGATTATTCTGCGATTACACAAATTAGGATTGTATTGCCTAGAATTTCGGAATTTAAGGATTCGTTTGATGAAACTTTTCTAGACAGTAATGAAAACAGGTCAGGTTTGGGAAGTCTAGGCCTCTTAAGGAATGAAAATAGAAAACAATTCCATATGCCAAGAATAACAGAAGCTTGGAACCCTCTTCTGCCAGTGGCAACTTCGACTACACCATTCATTTAACAGAAAATGAAGATTGATGGATTTTCGGGATCCAAAACCATGAAGGGATTTGGAGCAAAAGCAGGTACGGAGTTCAGCCCCAGGTGAGTACTGTGTGATGGAACAGGTTTACAGGAGTAGAAGCCTATTTCTGTTCATGAAAGACCCATTTTTCTCAATGTGAGTGAGAGACATGGTATTTTGCTCACACTAAAAAAAAGTAACTTGAATACAGACAACTCTCTCTCTAAATGAGGTTTCCTGAATTGTGCACTAGAAATTGGGTACATCTAACTCATTGATGTAAAGGTAATGTGTTGTTTTTTTGAATGTTTATTCAGTTGTTAAATGAATGGTACTTTACTTCATTTCTTCCAATCCCCTCCTCCCCCGGTCTTAAGCAATGAGTTGTGGAAGCTGAAAATAAAATCCTCATTCTTTACAAAAGTACAGTGTGGGGGAGAAAAGATAGGGAGGTGAAATTGGGCTTTATTAGTAGCACAAAATGAGCTACGTAGCAAAATCAGCAACTCATTTTATATCATGGTTGACACATTGTACATAAAATCACAGAATCCCTACAGTGCGGAAAATGGCCATTCAGCCCATCAGGTCTGCACCCATCCTCTGAACAGCATCCAACCCAGACCTAGGCCCTCCATCCTATCCCCTGAGCCCCACATTTACCATGGCTAACATACCTGGCCTGCACATTCCTGGACACTAAGGGGCAATTTATCATGGCCAATCCAGCTAACATGCACTTCTTTGAAAACACATTTTAGCACAACCTGCTAATTTTGCTAATTGCCCATCTTGTATGCTGTTGAAGATCAATTTCAATCAAACTATTCCTTAAAAACAGCACACATGGGGCTTGATTCCCAACAGCAAAAAGAAAATAAATTGGGAATCTTTGGCTTGAATTCTACACTCAAGTCTCAAGAGTGGAGTTTCACCTCAGCCCATTGTTTCAGGTCAAAGTTCTTAATGCTGATAATATTTCTTAAACTTTTATTGCAGAAAGAGAAATTCCTGCATCAAGCCCGTCTTATGTTTGATTAGTATACAGATCCAAGTTCTAATGGTATCAGCTACCTTTTATGTAATTGAAATCAAAGCAAGATATGAATATCGGATCAACTGGAAGCAATTTTTTTTTTTAAATAAAAGTGAAAACGATTAAAGCATTGGTTATACATTCGAACGAAGAGCAGAAGTAGATCTCTTGGCACCTCTGGTCAACCTGTTCGTCTGCATTATGGGGAAATGTATTCTTCACTCGAGTCCTATAACTGGTACTACCCAATCTGTCTAAAGAATATTCGGATAAATACATTTTTGGAAAGTTAAATTTCTAATGTATCAGAAGAAATGACTACAAAATAATATGACTTTAACAATAGTTCAATAACTACTTCATATTGATCTTGTTATTTAAGGTTTTATGAATTATTTAAAATTATAATATTCTGTGACCAGAATAGGAAGCAGTATATCAACCTTAAAAAAGTGCTTAATTATCTCAATGTTTTCATGTTTACATCTCAGTATTGCATTCCATCACATCTGGGAAACCTTACTTTGCAATACCTGTGATGACTATAATTTACTCACTTCCAAACAACCAGAGTTAGGCACTTTCCAGGCTGATACCTCTCGACCTGAACAAGATCGCCCCAACGTTCACGTATTAGCATTTGCGCCTGAGAGTGTAAAACTTCCAATTGCAGTGACAAACAGAATGAATCTGAGATAATAGGTTAAGGAACACTTGAAAAGAAAACACTGTTAGTCAGAATAAAATAAATTGGTGCAAAGTCTCAATACTTCCATGTTAGCAATAAGAAAATGTGTATATATTTTGTATAAATATTAATTACACATATTTGCACATAATGATGATTAACTCCAGGGAACACAGGATTTTAGAAAACAGAGCAAATCAAGATGGGGAACAAGGAGGATCATCAGCTAACAGTTGCAGATATTGACCTCATATTAAAGATAAGATATTTCTACACAACAGCAAATCCAAGTAAATTCCAAATTTTGAACCAAACGAAAATATCAAAAAAAAATACACTTTACAATTCAACTACGACTCAAGAGAACCTGAAAAAGTCACTTGCCATTGGTGAATAAGTCAGGAGTTAATATGGTTATGTGCTCACTTGAGCAACAGAACCGAAGATGGAAAAAATTCAATGGAGACAAAAAACATTGATCCTGCCAAAAGTATGGATGTAGTTGCCAAGGCTTTTGGAAAGGACACGATCAGTTTTTTTTTCATTCATACATGGGATCTGTGTATCACCAATGATGCTAGCATTTACTGCTCATCCTAATTGCCCTGGAAAATTTGGGAAAGAGCTGCCTTCTTGAAACATTGCATTTCTGTACAGTTAGGAAGGAAGTTTGAGCAGTTTTTACTCAGCTACAATGAAAGACTGGTGATATAGTTCTAAGTCAGGACTGTCTGGGTGTTACTTCTGTTACACAAGATTGCTCGTGTCTTTTAAACAATTGTGGTCGCTATAATTCAGCAGGATTTCTCATTACATATGGTGTAGTCACAATGCAAGTTAGAAAGTTTTCATTGTTGTCAAATTTGGACAAGCAAAATTTTCTTATTAAAAACAACTTTCTGACAAGAATTTAACTGAAGTTCTCACTAAAAATTGCTAATAGTGCATACTATTAAGAATTTGGATACGTAAACAGTTGTACATGTCTTGCAGAGGTTTCACATCAGCAAAGAGTCTGGACTGTACCAGTCGGTGGATGAAATTGATCTGCATACTATGAACCAAAGCACGACCATCTGAAATAACAGTTTTAGACGCATTAGAAACTACTAAGCGGACATTAGCATCAACACTAAAGCTCAATCGGAAATTTTCCAAGTGACAAGAGATGCGTACAAAGAGACATGCCAGAAATTCAAATTATGTGCTGTGCCTCACTGTGGTTAGTTCAATTCCCAACATAGTACAGTCAATTTGGTAGTGGTAAAAATCCAGGTACCTTAAAAAGTTGATCAAGAGCAGGTGATACTCACTGACTAACAGCTTATGTATTAAGAGTTCTTACGGTGCAGGGGTAATGTCCCTCCCTCTGAACCAGGAAATGAGGAGTCAAGTCCCATTTAGTTCAAAGGTGCATAATAACATCACTGAACAGGCAGATTAGAAAACATCACAGCAGCATTGGAGGGCAGCTATTGTGGTCTGGTATTGGTGTACCTGCCTCTGGACAAGGAGGCCTGATTCAAGTTCCACCTCCTCCTGTGATGAGAAATAACATCTCTGATCAGGTTAATTGAAAAATATAAACAATTTATGTATTGAGGATTCTTGTGGCACAGTGTTCATGCCCCTAACCCTGGAACCAGGAGACCTAAATTTAAGTCCCATCTACTCCAGAAGTGTGAAATAACTAACTTCGCTGAACATTTTGATGAGAAAATAAGGGACAGCTTATCTGTTAAGGCTGTTGTGATGCAATGGTAGTATCCCCGCTTTTCAGCCAGAAGACTCAACTGTTGCCTCACATGAAAATTGTGGCGATGGAATTTTAAGTGCAGGACAATTTGAGATATTTCTTGTGGGAGAAGATGGGAAAAGAAGCTAAGGTAATGAGAAAACTGGTGAAGAGCACAACAGCTGCTCCAATTCCGACTCTTGATGTCGGCACAGTATTTTGTTTATTCAAGATAATGAAAGAAATGCAAAATGTAAAAGGGGCTGAAAAGACAGAATATGTGACATAGATACTTGGGTTTTTGTGGGATAATGCCATTGTCACAAAAAATATAAGTGAGAAAAGGGTTAGGATATCACCAGTTTAAAGCAGATGATAAAGAAAGAAATCTCTCAGCTTAGGTGGGTAGATATAGTGATCAACTATTGAAATGTTTCGTTATGAGAAATGCCTCTACAGAATAACAATTGAAGTTTCTAGAAGAAGGATGTCTCGCAACGTAATAGTGGAAATCTGAAGTGACATTTTTCATATTTATGTACTTCTGTGTAAATGCAATTATATTTTTAAAAGCAAGTCTGTCAGAGTTAGAAGTGCAGGTTAAATAAACAACTGCAGAGCTGATTAACAACAGGTGATGCTCAATGGAAGAAGGGCTCTTGTGGTGCAGTGGCAGTGTCCTTACCTCTGAGCCAGGTGGCCTGGATACAAGTCCCACCTGCTCCATCGGTGTGTCTTAACATATCTGAACAGGTTGATTAAAATGTAGAGTTTAGGGTTCTTGTGGCACTGTGGTAGCATCCCTACCTTTGAGCCAGATTCCCCACGATCAACACTGACCTGCCCCAGGAGTGTGCAGCAACATATTCAAACAGATTGATTAGAAACTTTCAAAGAGATAAGGTTTAGGGCTCTTGTGGCACAGTGAGAGTGTCCCTACCTCTGGGTCAGAAGTCCGGGTTCACGTCCCACCCCCCCAGATATATGTGCCAGAACATATTTGAACAGGTTGATTAAAAATGTTTAAGCAATAAGGACTTTTTTTGTTATTGTTGCACTGACCCAGTAAGCAGTGCTTGATAATTCCTGGTTTAAAAAAAGTGCAGACTCTTCTAGCCATACTGGTCTGTAAATGCCCAAACACATTTGATGTCAGCAGCTGGTTAGTACTTGGATGGGAGACTGTCTGGTAATACCAGATGCAGTAGGCTTTTGGGCGATTTTTGTAGTGGCTTTTCAGACAGAAAAAAAGGGCTCTTGAGGTGCAGACTCGTGTTCCTATCTCTGGGTTGAGAAGGTAGAGTTCAAATCCCACCTGCCCCAGACATATGTCACAACATGTCTGAACAGGTTAATTAGAAATATCAAGGGCTAGGTTCTGTGACAGTGCCTTGGGTACTTCCCATTTGTTATGTGGTTAATTAGGTAATTGACTGATTTTGTGTTAGGTTTTCAAAATATGAAAAGTAAGAGCTGGGTGCTTAAGGCCTCTTGTCGCAGCAGAAGTGTAACAAGTGGTGTGCCAGAGGGATCAATCGCCAGGACCACAATTATTTCCAATATACAATGACTTGGATGAAGACTGTGAATGTTTGATCCTCAAGTTTGCAGGTGACATAAAAATAGGTGGGAAGGCAAGTGGTGAGGATGACATAGTCTGCCGAACAATGTTGACAGGTTTAGTGAGTGGGCAAAAACTTGGCAGATGGAATATAATCTGGGAAAATGTGAGTTCATACATTGGCAGAAAGAATAAAGGGGCTGAATATTATTTAAATCGAAAAAAACTGCGGAAAGTTTCAAAACAGAGGGATTTGTACGTCTGCATCGTGAATCACAAAAAGCTAGCATCCAATTTCAGCAGATTATAAGGTAGGCAAATGGAATGTTGGGCTTTATTTCAAAGGGAATGCAGTATAAAAGCAGGGAGATTTTGCTAAAATTATACAAGGTACAAGTCAGACCACAGCTGGAATACGGTGAATAGTTATGTGCCACTCTAAGGAAAGATATACTAGCACTGCAGCAGTCCAGTGAAGGTTCACCTGACTGATACCAAGTATGGAGGAAATGTCTTGTGAGAAGAGGTTGAGTAGGCTTGACTTGTGCTCAATGGAATTAGAAGAATGAGAGATAACCTTATTGAAACATGCAAGATTCTTATGGGACCTGACAAGATGGAATGTGAAAAGGTTGTTTCACCTTGTTGGAGAGTCAAGGAACAGACTGCATCATCTCAAAATAAGGCGTCATTCATTTAAGACAGCAATGAGGACTTTCTTCTTTCAAAGAGTAGTGAATCTGTGGATTCTTCACCAGAAAGGACTGTCGAAGCTGGGTTAAGTATATTCAAGGCTGGAATATACAGATGTTTATTCAGTGAGGGAATCAGGGGTTATGGGGAATAGGTTGGAAAGTGGAGTTGAGGATTATCAGGACACCACAATCTCACTGAACCATGACAAAGCAGGTTCAATGGGCTGAATGGCCAGCTTCTGCTCCTACATCTTGTGGTGTACCTAACACAGCCTGGAAGCCCAGATTCAAGTTCTATCTGCCCCAGAGGTGTGTTATAATACACATGAAGAGGTTGATTTTAAAATAAATGAATTTTAAAGAAAAGTTCTCTGCCCCTTGATTAATTGAATGTTTAGTTATTATGGCAGTAGGTAATTTTAAATAAAGGCTAAGTTATTAAAAAACAAAGCTGAATTCTTTCTCAGGGGCCTTGTGGTTTTGTACCTCTAGGCCAGAAGATCTGAGTTCAAGTCCCACCTGGCACTGAGGTGTGTCATAACATGTCTGAGCAGGGTAAATTAACAAAAAGAAAAGAGCTGGTTCTTCCCTAGTGGGCAGTTAGTTACTGAACAGTGACAGGCACTAGAAAGGAAAGGCAGAAATTGACGAGCATTAAATTATAGATTTACAACAACCTCCTTGTATATCGGAGATAGTAGGAACTGCAGATGCTGTATATCTATCTTTTCTTGCCTAATTCAACACATGAATATTGATCTGATAAACAAGTTCCCAGCTAATCAATGAGATATAATGTTTAACAGAAGACATAAAGCCTTTAAACTCATGGGGAATAGAAATCAAATGCCTACTCATTTATCTCAGTACATCTACACAGTATCAAATGAACATAAATCATCTAAGTTTTCAGTCATTGGGCTTAGTGTTTAACTAATATGATCACAATTTGAAAATCAGTAGAGAATTCCCAGTAAAAAAAAGTTAAAAGATATAATTTTACAGATTATAATAAATAGCAATAGTTAAACAGAAGCAGAATGATGGTTTACACAGGAAATATTGGAATTAGCAAGCAAGCAAGCCAGCCAGTACCAACTAGGCAATACAACAGAGGGATAACTTTTGTTTGACACAAATCCAAACAAAAGCGGGCTGCTGAATTGTAGTCTAGGATGCTTTCAAGCAGATATGCACATCAAACAAAGAATGTTTTACAGTGATTTCTCATGGTATTGTATTGGCTTGTGTATAAAATTCACTATTTCATGAGCTGTGGTGTGTTGACTAGAATACAAGGTAAAAGTCTAAACTCATTGAAATGGAGAAGTGTAATTTTTTTTAATAAGAAGGTGAAAATCTCTAGGATTCATCAACAAGAAATGATAATGGCCCAGATCATATTTTAGTGTAAAGCTGTAAATGATATTACTTCAAATGTAAATCTTCGATTCATGCTAGCCTCAAATTACCTCCTGTTTCCTTATCTTCAACTAGTATTTCCAGTTTGAGCAGCCGCCAGGGTATTTCAGGATCATCACCCATCACCGTAAGTGTGGCTTCAAATTCACCTTCAACACGGAATTTCACACGTCCATTGGCTTTACACAAAGTACAAATATTTTATAAGTTCAGAATTTGAAAATTTAGAAGAACACTTCCTAATGCAAATCTCAAACCACTTGGAGTGAACTCTCATTATTGGGTTATAAATAGAAATTTTCTTAAACCTAAAGGCATTCCATCCGAGACAACAACAAAGGTGGTATTACATTTTTCAACAGGAGTTTCATTCAGAAAGTAAAGGTTAAAAAATTGAGGATTTAAACATTGATAGCTATGGGTTCTCGCAATAATGGGTCTTATATGAAACGTAAATGAACTTAACTGAAACCAAGCTGTATAGAATTCTTACCAACAGTAAGGTTTGCCAACTGTGGAGGAAGGTCTGTTGTCACCAGTCGATGTCTCAGAATCTGATTAAGCTGATGAAGTGTGGATTGTTTCTCACTTTTTGTAATTGGATTTGGAGGAATGATTTTATCCTGTTGACAATTTGAGCAATACAAATTTCAGAACTATTCATTATAATTTATTTGGAAGCCACTGAGCTTTGTATTGAAGAATCAATTGTAAGCCCAAGGAATCAGATTGCTGTGTATACAAGTCTAATGCTCACTATTATTACAATTGCGAACTTAGTTTAATTAAAATGCTATTTCTCTCCGTATATCCATGTTAAAAAAAAGGAATTAATTCAGCCAAAATATACATTACCCATTAACTTTGTTTCATAGCTAAGTCCTGCATAAGGTTTGATTTTTATTTACTTAAATAGTAAGGTGATCACTTTATTGTTCAGTGTCTTTTACTTCAGCCCACTCCCCTATCCTAATCTCAAATGCTCTTCATTTTTAATTATTCATGCATTTCTCTGTTAAAATCTACCTTCACTTATGTTTCTGGTAGGGCATTTCACAAACAAAAATACGTATTAAAAAATTCCTAATGTCACCTGTCATTATTTTAATGAGAACTTGAACTTATGTCCTCCGTTACAAACTCATTTATCATTGAAAACAATTTCTCCCTTTTTAATCAACCAAATTCTTCATTATTTTGAAGTTAGGTCAAAATGTGCGACCTAGATAACAATATGCTTAGCTGATATAACCTACCAACATCTTAAAAAAAAGTGGAGTTGGTTAAATCAGAGAAAATCAGAGTTTAACACAAACAAATCATAACTAGAACTTTCCTATAATAAACAGATCACAATCCTAGTCTTATGAGCCTAGGCCAGTAGCTCACCCGAATACAAGTGGGCAGGCGAGGGTACGACCCTGTTGTAAGAACATCAATAGCAAATGGAATTGCAAAACTTGGCAGGCGTGCATGAACCAAAGCATCTCTTGCTAATGATGCCATTCGATCAGCAGTGTCCACAAAGATGAATGCCTGCTGATCCAAGAAATTTGATATCATCTGCATGCAAAAAACAAAAGAAAAGTTAATAATGATGAGCACTGTGCAATGAAATTGCACAATAACACTGCAAACAAACAAACGTGAAATAAGGAGCTGCTCTCAAGATTTGTGCCTTTCAATCCAGTGACAGCTAAAGTCACTCAGAAGCACAATTAATCTAAACTAAGAGATTTAAAATACGTGGAATTGGAGTTCTTTAGTCGTCTACGTGAGTTGTGTCCAAAATGGAGAAATGATGGGTAAAAGTCATCAAGATAATAACAGTGACCATATTTCAGAAGTATTTAATTGGCTTTGGGACGATGAGGTTGGAAACGATGCTACATAAAGGTAAGGTTGCTGACAAATGATCAGCATTCCCATGTACGTCTTCTAAAGTGCTATTGCTTCAAATCACATGTGATCAGTGTTATTTAATGGAACATTTGATGTTTCTGGTACCCAACATCTGCAAAGGAAGGCCTTAAAATGTGTTTATCATCAATTGTTCAGTTAGCAGCCAATAACTAACCTCTTGGGAGCAAGGGAGAAAAGAAAACTAGTTTCTTATGTGTTTGAGGGGTCTCCACATTGGTATACTTGGTGTTCAGGTTTGAGACAAGTCAACCCATGACATCAGACTCAATACCTTAACCAGCAGTAAACTGACACCAAGACACTTCAGATAACTGGCCAGGCAAATGGCCTTACTACTGAGTCTATGTGTGTTTTTGAACATGGATTCTGTCTAAACAGCTTGCAGGATTGGCAAGCCAATTCCCTTAAAGTTCATGTGGTGTTTCAGCAGAAAGCCTAGCAAAGTTCTGTACTGGCAAATTAGAGGTCGTAGAGTTATACAGCACAGAAACAGACCCTTCGGTCCAACTCCATGTCAACCAGATATCCTAAACTGATCTAGTCCCTTTTACCAATATGTGGCCTATATCCCTCTAAAGCCTTCCTATTCACTTACCAATACAGATGCCTTTTAAATGTTGTAATTGTACCAGCCTCTATCATTTCCTCTGGCAGTTCATTCCATACGCACACCACCCTCTGTGTGAAAATGTTATCTCTCACGTCCCTTTCCTCAAGTCTGGGTGATAAATTAAGTTTCCGTTTAGGGACAATATGTCCTTACTATCACTCATACAAAATCTCAATGAAATTTAGAAATTCGAGCAGCTATACTTTGAGATGGTTAAGTGACACCCAGTGAATGTGTTGGATACTACCAGACAAAAAAGTTTAAAAATCTGTTACTTTTGCATCAACGTAAACATCCATCTGCTAGTAAATACATGAATCTTTCCACTCTTACCGCACATTTTTCCACCTTTCCAGCATTACTTGCCCATTTTACCAACGCAAGCAGACGAACAAACAGTTGACGTGTTCGACTAGCAAACTGAACAATCTCAATTTTTCTGTGGAAAGAAGCCAACATGCTTGTAAGCGTTGCAAATTTTATCACTTTCAAAAACTGAAGAATATTCTTCAAAAATGTACATTATGAAGAGGTTTAGTACTCTGGACTTTTACACAAACTACTTATTATTTTACAAGTGGTCAGCTGCAATATAGCAGCAGATATATAGATAATTCACTGAGCTGTGTAATAGTAATGGGGTAATTGTAGGGAATTTCAACTTCCCCAACATTAACTGCAACAGTCGTAGTGTAAAGGGAGAATTAATCTTCACTTGGGGAGGCAAGGTTTGATCAGAGACAGTCAGCATTGCTTTATCAAAGGGGAGCTCATGCCTGACAAATTTGATTAATTTTTGCGGTGGTAGTGATCAGGTATGTAGATGAGAGTAGTGCAGGTTATGCAGCTTATATGGTTTGGAGCAGGAGCCTTTGGCAAGGTCCCACATGGCAGACTGATACAAAGTTAAAAGCACACAAGATCCAGGGTAACTTGACAAGTTGAATCAAAAATTGGCTTAGTGGTTGGAGACAGAGGGTGGTAGCTGATGGCTGTTTGTGTGACTGGTAACAGGTGTTCTGTGGCATACCACAGGGATCAGTGCTGGGTCCCTTATTGCTTGCAATAAACAATACAGATGAAAATATTGGGGGCTGATAAGTTCGTTTGCGGATGACATAACAATTGACCAAATGTTGAAGAGTGAGAAAGAAGGTCTTAGATTACAGAAGGATATATACAGGTTGGTGAGATGTGCAAATCAGTGGAAAATGGAATTTAATCCTCTTAGTTGCGAGGTGATACACTTTGGAAGAAGTAACAAGATAAGGGAGCAGTCAATTAATGGCAGGATACAAGGAAGTTTGGGGGAACACAGCAGTCTTGGATTGTTTGTCCACAAATCCCTGAAGGCAGCAGGCTGGTTAACAGGGTGTTAAGGTAACGTATGGAATACTTGCCTTTATCAATTGTGGCGTAGATTATAAGAGCAGGGAGATTATATTGGAGCTGTACACAACTTTATTTAGGCCACAGCTGGAATACTGTGTGCAGTTCTTGGTGGCACACTGTAGGAAGGATGTCACTGCACTGGAGGGGGCGCAAAGGAGATTCATCAGGAGGTTGCCTAGTTTGGAGCAGTTTAGCTAAGAGAGGCTGAATAGGATTAGGTTGTTTTGTTTACAGCAGAGAAGGGTGAAGCAGGGACCTGACAGAGGCATACAAGATTGAGGGGTGGTATGGGTAGGATGGACAGAATGCAGCTGTTCCCCCTTTGAAGAGTTCATCATGACGCAGCATAATTTTAAAAGGTGAAGGGCAGGAGATTTAGATTTGAGGGATTTAGGGAAAAACCTTTTCACCTAGAAGGTGCTGGGAATTTGAAATGCATTGCCTGGGTGGGTAGTAGAGTCCAGGAACTTCACAACCTTTAAAAAAATATTTGAATGAACACTTGATATGTCATAACATTCAAGACTATAGGCTAAGGGCTGGAAATCAGTCGATAGGTGATGGTTTTGTTTTGTCACTGCAGACTTGATGGATCAAACAGCCTCCTCTGCACTGTACAACTCTGACTTAAAATACATGAAATTCCACCCTTAAAGTCAGTGGAATAACTTGCGCTGCAGAAAGCAGTACTGTCAAAACGCAAATCAATAGTAACCCTGGTAATTACTCCAAATTGTGATGAGCTATGCAGCGAATACTCCATGCCTTTCTGCATAAACATACATGATCAGCATTTTGTCATTCTGTAATAATACATTGATAATTCAAAGCAGTCAAACACTTTACTAGTCTTTAGCTAACTACTCCATTTCTAACTCTGACCCCTTAAGCCATTTGAGTGTAAATATTTCACACAAATAAGTGAGAGATAATTGTACAGTGGTCAAGTACTTAAGTTCATGAACTAGCAAATCAGCTTTCCAAATTTCATATCCCACCATGGTGAATTGTGAAGTGAAATTCAATAACGATAATCAATTGTAAGCTAGCATCTGGAAATTGATGGATTAAAAAAGCAACTGTCGCACAAATTTTGTCAGTGTCTGGTTTTCATCTACTTCAAGTCCCATACCACAATGGTGACTAGAAACCCTCACAGTAACAGACCATAGCTTGCTAGCAGGCTCCAAGTTACGAGGGCAATTAAAAAGAAAACTTGACTATTTGGAGAATCTTACTTAGAATAGGATCAACAAATAGGTGACTTTTGCAGAAAGAAATGAAGACAATGATCAGACATTGACAAAGGGTTACCAAAAAGTGCATATAGCTGGAAGACAAAGATTATCAGCAGCTGTTCTGGGTCATTTCAGCAATTAAATCAATCCATGTGGGGAGTTAAAATATAGAGGGTTGGGGACCTAATTCAAATAAACTTCAGACTGCCATGACAAACAGTTATTGAGTTACTCCAGCATGGGGTGCTTTCAGAACATGCTACATTTGAGGTGCAACTTAATTATTTGGTGACAAGCAGAAAACAAGGTTGCAGCACTGAGATATTTAGCATCAGTAATTTAGCTAATACCACAATGCTGTAGGACAATACTTCTGTTATTAGAAACTTTAACTTTGTAAGAGAACAAAGAGATCCAGTGGTACAGGTACATAGTTCCTTGAAAGTGGAGGCACAGATAGATAGGGTGATGAAGAAGGCTTGGCATGCTTGCTTTCATCAGTCAAAGCATTGGGTATGGGAGTTCGGACATCTTGTTGCAGCCGTTCAAGGCGTTGGTGAGGCCACATTTGGAATACTGCGTGCAGTTCTGGTTGGCCTACTATAGAAAGGATATTATTAAACTAGAAAGAGTGCAGAAAAGATTTGCGAGGATGCTACCAGGAGTGGAAGCTTTGAGTTATAACGAGAGGTCGGATAGGGTGGGACTTTTTCCCTGGAGCGTAGGAGACAGAGGGATGATCTTATAGAGGTCGAGAAAATCATGAGAGTGATAGATAAGGTAGATAGCTGACAGCTTTTCCCCATGGTAGAGAAGTCTAAAACTAGAGGCTATAGGTTTAAGGTGAGAGGGAAGAGATACAAAAGGGTCTAGGGGGCAATTTTTTTCACACAGAGGGTGGTGAGTGTCTGGGACAGGATGCCAGGATAGTGGTGGAAGAGAGTACAATTTCGTCATTTAAGAAACATTTAGATAGGTACATGGATAGGATAGGTGTGGAGGGATATAGCAAATGGGATTAGATTAATTGTGAAAACTGGGCAGCATGGACAAGTTGGGCTGAACACCTGTTTCCATGCTGTAGACCTCTATGACCTCTTTTTAAGTTTACTGCATGAGCCTGTGGAGGTTTCATCCTGTTATTCACAAATTATTTCCCATTCTGTCCAAAGGCTTTAGTTTCTGATGGAATGTGGGTCTATGGATGGCCAGTGCTCTTCAATCTATCTCCCAAAAACTCAACTTATTTGTTATGTTCAAACTTTGCCAGTAATTGTTGGCAAGCAATTTGTACAAGGAGAAGAGAGAGAGCAAAATCACACTCGGTCAGTTCCTGTGCCTCCATACAGGTTATAGCGACAAATGCATTAACAAGGGCAGGAATTTTCTAAATCATGAAATCAATGAAGCTTTTCGTTTAGATACTTGCATGGATTGTTGGCATTAGTGGTAAGGCCAGCACTGGTTGCCTGTCCCTTATTGCCCTTAAACTGAGCAGCTTGTTAAGCCATTTCAGAGGACAGTTAAGAGTTAACCACATTGCTCCAAGTCTGGAATCATGTGTAGTCCAAACCAAGTAAGGATAGCAGATTTTCTTCCCTAAAGGGGACATTAATGAACCAGATGGGTTTTTTGGCAATTGTCAATGGTTGTACAGTCAACATTAGATTAGCTTTTAATTGCAAATATGTAGAATATTAGCCAAGGCTCTGAATTACTAGTCCATGGCATCACAACTATGCCAAAAAACAGATAACCTCTCCCTGCTAACCCAGCGAAGATTAGTGATTCAGTGGAACCACAAATTAATCTGGGAATGTCTTGGCTTGAATTGGTTTCATTTATTTTCAAGAAGGAGTTAGATACAGGGTATGGGGAGAGAGCAGGAACAGGGTAGAGTTGGATGATCAGCAAGTGGTATTATTGCCATACTATTAATCCAGAAACCCAGGTAACGTTCTGGGGACCTGGGTTCAAATCTGACCATGGCAAATGATGGAATTTGAATTCAATAATAATCTGGAAACATGAGTGAAATGACGACAATGAAACTGTTGCCAATTGTCAGGGGAAAAACCCATTTGTTCACCAATGTCCTTTAAAGAAGGAAATCTGCCATATTTACCTGGTCTGACCTACACGTGACTTCAGATCCATAGCAATGTGTTTGTCTATTAACAGCCCTCTGGGGAATTAGGGACAGGTAACAAGTCTGCTCTAGCCAAAGACACACACATCCATGAATGAATATTAAAATAAAAATCCAGTAGCAGGGCCAAATAGTTCACTACAGCTCCTAGTTTCTCGACCTTTATTAACAGCTCACTAATTCTTTGGGGAGTTCTTGAGTAGTGTTTTGTTTTTGGTACAGCAGTCTGAAGCCCTGCATCTCAAAATAATTAAATGCAGTTTTAACTCTATATCACAAGAGCACTTTTGGGAAATAAATTAGTTCAATTCATAAAATAAAATTGATTATCAATTGGCAAAAAACATTTAAACTAATGTCAATACATTGAGATACCTTGCTATTGTCTCCATTTTTAAAAACATAGAAGCAGCCTTTTAAAAAAATTACACTAAATGCATGAAAAAACTTGAATTGAAAAGTCACTTACCGTTCCATGTCAGTCTTTCGAGGCAACCTAAAAAACAGAAGAAGATCAGTTACTTACCAATGCAAGTAAAAGCTTTATTCTCAGATGAAAACTATATACTTTAACTACAAAGTTTATACTTAACAGTTTCAAACCTCTTGCCATTCATTGTGCAAAACATCTCAGAGAGCTTTGTCATGGCAAAAAAATGTGTTGCCATTAAAAACTTCAGACAGTTTAGGGTGATAACCAAAGACACAATTGAAGATAAAGATTTGTGGAAGCTTTCCAAAGTGTTCTAGAAGGCAGGGTACAATAGTCAAATCTTTAGACGTGGCATACACATGTTTGCGTTTTTTTTGGAATTTCTTCTGAAACTATAAAACAGTGAGCAATCACAGCTTGATTCAAAGACTCATTCATCATGACAAAATGCTACTTTTAAGCTAGTTATTCATGGAATTTCTGTGATGGAATACATTCTTTTTATAAAGAACATGAAACAATATATTTAAGCCACCAGACATCTGTACAAGTTTAATTTGTTTTGAATTTTTGTTTGACTAACATTTGTTAAAAAGGTGCTGTAACTATAAGTACAACATTTTACAGGATAAAACAAATAGAGAGTTCTTATTTATTTTGTGTATATATTCAGCTACTTCAATTGAATCACTGATTTATTAATATGCTATTCCTTTTCTCAAATCGCAGAACAGTCATTTCAAAGTTAGCAGCTTAGAAATTACTGTTTCTCTTAATTATTTCAGTACCAATGCAGAGTACGGCAGATACTTTACGGTGTAAAGACTTCAACAAATGTATAGGGCCCTGCTCCAGAGGCTGTTGACATTATTACCAGAATAAAGTAAACAACTTTAAGCCAATAACATCACGAATTTATTCACAATATATTCAAGTTGAAAAATTAGTTTAAAGAATTTCTGTTTAAAATACAATGTAGATGAATTGTAAGATATTGCAGAATGTTCCACTGTTACATCACCTTTTAACTTAATAATCATACATTCCTTGTTATGTCACAACTTTTGTTTTTTTTTTTAAGAGGAAACATTTTGGTATAAACGAATAATAGCCAATACATTGCTCTCTTGGATTTGCTGTTTTGTTGCCACAACGTATAGGTGACTAAGCATGTGTTCTATGAAACACTGAAGGTTCAACAAGGACGCTGAAGATTTACCTCAACCAACATAACCATCCTCGACTTATAGGGAAGAACAGCAAGATCAGCAGGGTGAACAGGACAATCTTGCAGAAAAATAGTTACATGAGCCTTGTGTTAGACAGTTATAATGTAATTAATGAGTTGTAAATTCAAAATGCATCTATAATAAAATAGCTAGCTATTTTTGAATCAAATTGCTCAGACATGTTGTTATACATCTCTGGCATAGGTATGACTTGAACCCAGGCCACCTGATCAATAGGTAGGGACGGTATGACTGCACTAGAGCCCCATTTATATAATAACATACTCCATTTGTTATTACCACCATCAGCTCTAAGTGAGCACTGCATCCTCAATATATTGCAATTCTAACTGTACACTGAATTGCTGGCTACATTGTATCAAAAGCAAGCAAGCAAAAATGTCTAAAAGATTTTGGACAGACACTATTTTTAATACTGCCTTTTTCAAAAGGTACGGTTAATGCAGCAATGTAACTTGATTGCTGGCATTTTCGAACACACAGTAAAGCTACAATCGTTCAACTTTTAGGATTTATTACTATATATTGGACACACTTCTTTCAATTTAAGCTGTTGTCTCAATGGTTGGTGCTTCATAAGTGAAAATCACAAAATACAGATTACAATGGAACAGCAATTGCCACAGGATACTTTACTGACAACACTCAGGTAAAATTGGAGTGTACATTGAAATTGCATGTAACAATAAGCAATTTCACAGTCAGGGTCCTGTGAAAATAGCATAAACAACAATACTGTTCAAGCACCATAAAACTTTACAGTAGGTCAGTTAGATGACATTTTACACTGAGAAGAGCTTTCAGGCTTGGATCAACGTAAAATGTGTATGTCAGCCAAACAGGAACTTAAAAAGTAATATACTAGTATCACCAGAAAGTTGTTTCCAACCAACCATTCTGCATAAATGGGTCTTTTTCTGACCAGCAGGATGCAAGAAGTGAAGTCCTGAAGGAGCCTCAGTTTTTTTACAATTTATATCAAAGACTTAGATTAGGGGAGTGAAGGCATGGTAGCTAAATTTGCAGAGTATAAAGACAGATATGAAAACTTGTTGTGAAGAGGATATAAAGAGGATGAAGATTAATATAGATAGGTTGAGTATCAGGCAAAATCTGGCAGATGGAATGCAAGTTAAGACAATGGGCAGTCATTCAGTTTGGCAGGAAACCAAACAAAAAGTATTGTTGTGTACCAGACCAAATCCCCTCAAAATATATTAAGAAGATAGTCTTTTTCTCATTTTAAAGGTCAGTATAAGACATTGTGTTTCAGACGGAATTTGATTGGTCAAACTAATCGACTCTATGCAAAAATACTTTATCTTTACAGTTAAAATACAGAAAAATAAAAGAATTGGCTTAACTATAACTACTAATTAACTGCTCCAATATAGTAACATACTATAAACACACTCTTGGCAAAGGCAAATACAGTAAAATAGATTGTGTCACATGCAATTCTAGCAGCAGGAACAGAACTCCAGCTTTTAGCTGTAGCAAAGAAAGGAATGAGAGCTTCCACATCCAGCCTCAAGACCCCAGCAACCACAGAAAGCCAAACCTGAAAATCCTGGTTCTGTGGAAGCTTGACACACCCATTTAGGCTGCTTCTGTTGTTCCAACTATTAAAGAAAACCCCAAGGCCTCACAGGCAGTTTACCCTATTGGCTTTGGGCAGATCACTCTTCACCTCTCAACTTTTCTTTAGAAAGAAAGGACAAAATACATCTCTTAAAGCCATTCATAGTCATGTTATTCATTTTGGAAAACAACTGCAGAATTGAGATGCAAAGGGATTTAAGGCTAATGGAACACTATCATTTATTAAGAGAGGAATCGAGTTATCATGGTAAGGATGTTATGCTTCAGTTACACAGGGCATTGGTGAGACCACATCTTGATCACTGTGTACATTTACTTTCTCTTGGTTAAGGAAGGATATAAATGCATTGGAAGCAGCAGTTTACCAGAGTGATACCTGAAATGACCAAGCTGTCTTATGAGGAAAGGATGGGCAGATTGGTCCTGTTTTCACTTGGATTTTGAAGAGTGAAGGGTAGCTTGGTTGAAGCATATTAAAGCCGCTAGACTGGATTCGCCACAAGTGGCAATGGAACCAAAAGGGAATTATCTACTTGACCTCATTCCCACAAATCTACCTGTCATTGATGCGTCCATATTGGAGGTAAAGTCCCATCTTCACATTGAGGATATATTCCATCAGGGGTTCGGAAACCCGGTTGGCTGGATGGCTGGTTTGCAATGCTGAGTGATGCCAACTATATGGACTCAATTCTTGCAGCAGCTGAGGTTGCCATGAAGGACTCTCCTTCTCAACCTCTCCCCTTGCCCGAGTTGTGGTGACTCCCAGATCAAATAACCACCATTCGTCTCTCTTTAATGACAGAGCAGCCCAATGGTTTGGTCAGACTATGGTGACTTTACTGTCCCATTATAATCTGTCATGTGCTAGAATGGGCCAGACTTTGAACAGATTTAGCAGCTCAAAAACAGGACATCCACAAGGCACTATGGGCCATCAGCAGCAATAGCACTGTACTCAGTCACACTTTGTACTTCATGGCCTCCAATATCCACTACCCTACCATTACCATCCAGCCAGAAGATCATCCTGGTTCAATAACTTGGAGATATACCTGAAAATAAGGTCACAACCTGGTGAAGCTACATATGACTACTTGCACGCTAAACAGTGGAAGGAGTATGGAGTCATCAAGTATAAATAATGCTACAATAAACTGGTCAGATCTCAACTCTGCAATCCTGCCACAGTCAATCATCAACTGTGGTTGAGAACTAAATTAACAGAAGGTAGAGCATCTATAAACATCCCCATCATTATAGCAATGAAAAAGACATGACTAAAACATTTGTATCCATTTTCAGTCAGAAATGCCACGTGGGTGCTCCATCTCAGGCATGTCCCAGCATTATAGATGCCATTCTTCAAGCAACCGATTCACTCCACGATATCTAGAAGAGGCTGAAGATACAAGATACTGTAAAGGCTCTGGGCCCTGACAACGTTCCAGCAATTCAATGCTCCAAAACTAAGTGTCCTTAACCAAGCTGTTCCAATACAGCAACAAGACTGGCATCTACCTAGCAATGTGGAAAATTGCTCAGGTATGCACAACAAGCATGATAAATCCAACCCAACCAACTACCATCCTATCAGCCTATTTTCAATCATAAAAGTCATAGAAGAGATCGTAAACAGTGCAATTAAGCAGCACTTGTAAGAGAATACCCTGCTCACTAATTCTCAGTTTGGATTTTGTCAGGTCCACTTGGCTTCTAACCTCTCACCTTCCCACTATATGAGGTCAGAAGTGCGATGGTCACAGATGTTATACTCAATTAGGATCATGCACCACTACTCCTGGAGTCATCTCAAAAGTTAAAGGTTTTATAAATATATGCAAAATTGCCCAATTTATCTATCTTTTAGAGCTAGGTTGACAAAAAGCAAGGACAATGTTTCTACACTGAACAAGAATTACTATTCATTATAAATAAATAGATTCTAGCTACAACTAAAACAATTATGAACTACTGACCTATAACTCTTCCAATTAAAATTCTAACCTCCTTATAAAACTCTCCCTAAACACAAAAACAAACAAAAAAATCGTGGAGGTTATGGGTGGAGGGAAAGACTGAAAAGGCCTTTCAATGGTCCCTCACCACAGGGTTCTCTTGAGACTATCTTTTTGTCTTGTCAGGACTTTGAATTGATTTTCCTTCTCTAGGTACTTTCGCTTGCTTGCAGAAGGCATAGAGCAACTGGTTCAAACTTATAAAATCTCTGATTTATTGTTTACACTAACTTATAGTTGTTGGCTGGCAGGAGATCTCTATCATTAACAACTGGTCACCATTCCACAAATCAATCAGCTACTTGTTGCCTGCCAAATTTTTCTTCGTACATACGCATTAACTGCAACTTGACTTTAACTAAATCTCCTCCACTGTATGGACCAACAGTAGCATAAACGGCACTTACAATGAGGGTCAGTTACCAATTTTCAAAGAAATACAGTAATTCTTTCCAAAATCCTTGGTTTTTAAAACCATCCTTTTACCACTTCAATCCACAATCAAAAATACAGAAAAGTAAAGAGATACAGTATTTACAGTGATGATTGCATAATGTTTGGCACCATTCTAGAATCCTCAAATATTCAAACAGTTTATGTACAAATGCAGTCAGATCTGAACAACAAAAAACTGAAAGAACCACGGATGCTTTAAATGGGAAACAAAAGCAGAAGTCACTGAAAAAGCTCAGCAGGTCTGCAGTATCTGTGAAGAAAAATCAAAGTTAACATTTCAGGTCCGGTAACCCTTCAAAATGGTCACCGCTGATTTTTCTTCACAGATGCTGCTAGACCTGCTGATCTTTTCCAAGATCCGAATAACATCCAGACATGGGCTGATAAATGGCCAGTAATGTCCATTAGTCAATAATAATCGCCAACAAGAAATAATTTAACCATCACTCCTCAACATTCAATAGCATTACCGTCATGAATCCCAACTACTAGTTTTATTATCAACATCCATGGGGTTTTTATTGACCAGAAACTGAACCGAACTAGCCGTACAATCTCCAACAGCTGAGCAGAAAGTAGGAATTCTGTGCTAAGTAACTCACTTGCTGTCTGCTGAATGCCTATGCACCATCAAGAAGCCCAAGTCACGAGTATGGTGAGATACTCAATACTTGCCTGGATGAGTGCATCTCGAACATCACTCAAGTAGCTTGACACCATCCAGGACAATGCAGTCAGCTTAATCGGCACTACATTCACCACCCTCAATACACTCGCCCTTCACCTTTGATGCACAGTAGCAACACTGTGTACAATTACAAGTGCCCTGCAGTAATTGACCAAGGCTCATACAAGGGCGCCTTCAACAGTATCTTCCACCATGTTCTGCAAGGCAATTAGGAACTGACAATAAACGCTGCCCTAGCCAGTGAAGCCCATACCCCATGAGCTAATATTTTAAAAAGAAGATCCTGAATGGTGTTGATATAATGGATGTGGAAAAGATATTTCCTTTTGTGGGCGAGTCCAACACTACATGTCACTGTTTAAAAGATAGGGGTCACCCTTTTAGGAGAGAGATTTTCCAAGGGTTGTGCAACTTTGGAACTCCAAGTTTAGACAGTAGCTCAGTGGTTAGTACTGCTGCCTCACAGCGCCAAGGACCTGGGCTCAATTCCAGCCTCGGGTAACTGTCTGTGTGGAGTTTGCTGATTCTCCCCGTGCCTGCATGGGTTTCCTCCGGGTGTTCTGGTTTCCTCCGATAGTCCGAAGATGTGCAGGTTAGGTGGATTGGCCATGCTAAATTGGCCATAGTATCCAAGGATGTGTAGGTTAGGTAGATTAGCCACGGGAAATGCAGGGTTACAGGGACAGGGTAGGGGGATAAGTCTGGGTGGATGCTCTTTGGAGAGTCGGTGTGGACTTGTTGGGCTGATTGGCCTGTTTCCACAATGTAGGGATTCTATGATTCTATCTCAGACAAGTAGTGGAGGCAGGGTCATTGAAATTTTTAAAGCAGAGTTAGATTGATTTCTCTGTCTAATAAAATCGTAAGCTTATTGGTAGTAAACTGAATGGAGGAATTCAAACAAATTCTGCCATGATCTTACTGAACGGCATTGCAGGCTCGGAAGCCAAATGGCCTACTTCTGTTCCTAATTTGGATGTTCAAAAGTTTTTGATCAATATCTGTAATGTTGCGTTGCTAAATCACAAGGACAAGCTAAATTAATTGCTAGTAAGGAGTTAGATTACAGAATTAGCAATAGTCACAGCAGAGGGGAACATATAGTCCATCTTGTCCATGCTGGTTATTTGTAATGCAACTTGTCCAAGTTTCCTGCAATTTTCTCTCTTCAGATAATTAATTTTTAATTAACAATCAAATTTGTCTTCATGACACTCTCAGGCAATGAGTTCCAGATCTTCACTCAATGGGGTTTCTCAAAGCTTTTAAAGTCTTCTTTTGCCTTGGGTTTGTCAGCCAATTACTTTAAATCAATGACCTTTGGATCTGGACCCTTTTGCTATCAGAACAGCTTCTTCGTATCTGCTCTGTCCAGACTTCTAATGACATTAAATACTATTAAATTTTCTCTCAACCTTGTCTGCATTCATGAAAATGAGTCGAGATTCTCCATTCTATGTAAATGATGCCGCTCATCCTGACAGCCATTCTTGTAATTTTTTTTTTCTGGACCTCTTCATACATGCCCTAAAGGATGGACACAATACTCCAGTTGTGGCCAAACCTGAGTTTTATAAAGTGACTCCATAACTTCCTTGCTTTTTCTCCCCTTACTAATATTTAGAAAATAATTAAAGCAAAAAAATCTATCATTTCTGCAAAGATCATAGCTTAGGAATAGCCCATTTTATCATCACAGAAGAAAATCCCAAATTCAACTGCAGTTTGCATTGAAAAAGCTAATCACAGCCAAATAAATTAGAATTGATAAAGAGTAAAAATTCCTGGTTATTTTCTGAAATATGTTCCTGCCAGGTGACAATGATTACACCTAGCTATACTTCGTCATTCTCAAATGGTATACTAAAGCTCAATGTTGAGACTTCCACCTGAACATCCACCTTAGGAAGGTATTAGCAATCAACAGCCACATGGAATCTTAAATGTGGAGGCTAGAAATCTGAAATTTAAATAAAATTATTGGAGAAACTTGGCAGGTCTGGCATTTGTGAAGACAGAAACAGTTAACACTCCAATTCCAGTCTGACACTTCTTCATAATTGAAAGGAGCTGGAAAGCTCTATGCTATGTTTTCTATGCTATTGACACCCAGAGGAGGGCAAGCAAGTGGAACAAACTTGGTGCTTCCCGAATAAAAGACAAAGGGTAACACTCACAAAAGGAGAAAGGGATCTAAAAAGGGTGCAAATGAAGGTATCAGAAGGAGAAAATTGGCCCACTGTGCAGGCAGGGGTCAGGTGATGTAAGATAAATGGAAGACACAGGTCATGCTCTGAAGTTGCAGAACTCGATATCAAGTCCTGGAAGCTGCAAAGTGCCAGAGCAGAAAATGAAATGTTGCTTTTCCAGTTTGGGTTGAACTTCATTAGAACGCTGTAGCAGACCAAGGATGGAAATGTTACCATGGGAGCAAGGTGGTTTACCGAAAATGGCAACAAAATGGAAGGATGGGGTTATCCTGACAGAGCACGAATATGTTCTGTAAACCAGTCACCTAGTCTGTATTTGGTCTCACCAATGCGAAGGAGAATGCATTGTAAGCATTTTCTCCTTTTCACATCTTTATTCATGTCCATTTAACAATTCTTTCTCCATTAAAACCATTATCACTCCTGTTGTCTTTTGCACTAGACACCATCACAATTTGTTCACTTGCTCCGCCTCCTCTGACAGAAGTATAAAAAGACCATTTTCCAGCTTCTTTCAGACCTGAAGAAGTCACAGTGGACTCAACGTGTTAACTGTATATCTTTCTCCACAGATGCTGCCAGACGACTGAGTTTCTTGTGGAATTTTATCCAAATGTAAAAAAAGGAGACAAATCATGTTCTAAAGTCTGAAGTTAAATTCACTTCACTTAGTATTTCACTTTATTTCGCACTATTTCACTTTCCAATATCTATTTGTGAGAGACCTGGTTTAATCAATTGTAACAATATTGTTTAGTGTAAAAATGCTGTTAAAATTTCAAAAAGTTTAAAAAGTGTAGAAATGTTAGTCAGGGTACATAACTTTAGAACGCAAGTTAAGGCACCACGAGATGCTAAATAACGCTTTCGGGTACCAAGCATTAAGACAGTACTACAGGTGAGTATAAAAGGGGTAGAAATTAAAACTAAAAAAGATGAGGAAAACGAGCTTCTCACTCAATTCGAATGTCTGAAAAGAGGGCAGGACTGGCAAATGCAAGAGCACTTGGAGAAAGTTAACTAATTCAGGGCGCTGGATTACTTGGGTACAATTATTCCTACTTACAGGTCGGCCAGCACGGTAATTTCATGGTAGGTTCTCTGCAGCAGGAATTCAATCAACATGCTAAGGCGGACGCCGGGGCTGGCGGCTACAGCTGCTGTAGCTGCAGCGGCTGGGGCAGAGGTCGGGCCAGCAGCAGACACCAGCTGCGAACTCTCCACCTGAACCGGAGCCATTTTCAGCTCACAGCACAGAACCCACTGCCCCGACAAAAATCTACAATTTCCTGTCGTTCACCGGCCGTTATCGGAAAGGCAGTTCTCGCTCCATCGCCAAGGGCCACGATTTTGTTTCCCTCCCAGCAGTTAAACTCCGATCTCGTTGTTTCGCACTCGTTGAACAGATACCGCTACCACCGAACAGGACCCGCCATATTGTCAGAACCCGGAAGTACATATCAGCAGTGACCCGGAAGGAAACTTTAGGGAGCAGGTAGTAGATTGGAAGAATTGGTTGTATTCCCGTTTCTCCCAGCTTCAGGTTAAAAGTAGATGTTTGTGTGGATCAAAAATAATCTTTTTATAAAACGGTAATTAATAGGACGTGATGTAAATAATTTGCCAACAGTTACATATACTTTGTTTGAAATTACTAGGCATTATGTTTATACGTTGTTTTTCGCCTCATTTTCAGGTGAGTACGGATAAAAGTTGCCCTGTTTTTAAAAAAAAACCCTGGATTTTAAAAAATCTTCCTGCCCCAAGCGCCTAGAGCGCTCGGGTCGGGCGGCCTGTTGTGGGGATTGGTGAGAGAGAGAGAGAGTGTCAAGCAGGATGGCCTTTAATGGAGATGACTTTTTATCAATGGAGAAGTAGAGATGTAGATCTCGAAATCTTTGCAAATCCGACCTACTGCTATGCAGTTTTCTTTGCCTCACCATGTCCATGGACATACTGTTGCTTCTCAAATTCATTTTAAGTCTTCTAAATAGGTCTCTGGCTTTGCAGCAGTGCTCAATCGACACTTAACACAATCATAGGTGATACTCTGGTTGATCGTGACACATAATTCCTCCTCAGTCTGTTCCTTTCCCCACCTTTGACCGCACTACCTTGTCAAACAAGCTTCTTTATCCTGTAGTTGGGATTGTTCATACCTGGTTCAATGCTTAACTGTCCAACTGCAGTTACAAAATTTTCTACACCATTGCTTCTGGAGTCCCCAAAGGCTTCATCTTTGGTCTCCTGTTTCTCAACTGCTAGTTGTCCTTCAGTGATACCATTCAAGAAACAAGTCAGATTCTACGTGTATGCTCACAGCACCCTATGTCATCATTAACTCTCTTGATCTTTTCACTTCCGATGTATCATACTATTTGCTGAACATTCTGCATTGGATGACGTGAAAATTTTTACAGTTATATGTTGGGAAGACTGATGTAATTTGTCTTCAGTCAACATCATATAAACCTTTTCCTAGTGATTGATTCAATCCCACCCCTATCTGGCAAGTGGCACAACGCCTGGGACCCAGATTCAATTCCACCCTTGGATAACTGTCTGTGTGGAGTTTGCACATTCTCCCCGTGTCAGCGTGGTTGTTTACCACGTCCTTTGGTTTCCTCCGGATGTGCAAATTCGGTGGATTGACCATGCTAAATTGCCCATAGTGTTCAAGGATGTGTGGGTTAGGTGCATTAGCTATGGGAAATGCAGCGTTACAGGGATACAGTATGGGTCTGGGCGGGATGCTCTTCGGAGGGTTGGTGTGAACTTATTGGGCCAAATGGCCTATTCCAACACTGTAGGGATTCTAAAGCAGACAAACTGGTCAACTCACAATCTCAGTACCCTATTTGACCCTGAGCTGAACTTTTAACCAATATTCACTCCCAACAGCAAGACTGTATTATTTCACTTCCACAATGTTGCTTGTTCACCTTCATAATATTGCAGTTACTCCTACTGAAATGTATATGTTGCTGCACTCTCAGTTATGCTTTTATTATCCACTACGCCAATGGTCTTCTGGCAAGCTTCCCAGTTTACATCCAATGTAAACTTCACATTTCAGTTCTGCTTATTTGAGTTCACTTATCTTATTCAGCCTCGGTCCTCCTTCAGATTTTAAAATTTTCATCCTCCCCATCTGTACTTCAATCCTTAGCTCATAAATCTACTCCTCCCACTTCTGGTCTGTTATGTGACCCAACTGCCCACCGCCAACATTGGTGTTAGCATCTTCAGCTGCCTCAGCCCAAAGCTCAAGAATTCTTTTTCTAAACTTGTGCAGCTCCTTCTTTTCCTTTGACCAAGCTTGTCCTAATGTCGCTCTGTTTTAGTTTTGGTCGATAGTGCTCTTGTGTTTCAAATTTTTAAATACACTCTTTAAATGCAAGTTGTTTTATATATTGCTGAACTATGGGAACTGAATTTAGGCACATGAAGAATAACCTCAGCGAAAAGATTGATTCAGTAAAAATGTAAATCTCAGTAAATTGGACTCAACAATATGCCATAGATAAGAACAAGCCTTGGATATCTATGAAGATTCCTTAAAATAATCCATTGCATTATCAAGGACCACTTTGAGTCCTGTGTCTGGACATGGAAATTTGAGTTAAATATTAATAAATTAAATTTCATCCAATGTGCTTGGAATAAATTTGCTAGTAAAGTGGTGTTAGGTTTGTGCAGAACCATAACTGCAGAGGTGCCTATGGAAGACCAGTGCAGACATTTCTGATTTCTGTAGGGAATTAGAGCAGATGGTAACAGCTTGCTCACAGCTATATCATAGACATGTTTCTAATCTTAAAGTTATTCTTCCGAGATTAACTGTACTGAGGTTTCCAAATTTGGATTAGAAGAATCAACAATTTCTTGTATAAATAAACTAAAACACATTAAAGACTGCTTGGGGGTATAAATTGAGGGAATTATGTTATCTTTCCCCAATCTAATATTCCTTTGAGTTATGTCTGTGGCTAAATAGTTTTAGTTGATCCATTGTATTTAACAGTAACATGTCAGTATTATTATTTAAACCAAATACTCAAAGTTTGGAATGTTCTACATGTAACAAAATTTGCCAATGTATGATTTAATTTATATATGTAAGAAGATAATTTAATCTCCTATGATGCCGCACACATGGAGTCAAACTTAAGTTAATCTTAGGAAAGCAATGTTATATGGCAGGGAAGGACATTGCAAGATCTAAATAAAAGTTATTGTCTACAAACTGTACCACAAGAGTCAGTGCCAAGAGAACTGCACCCTAATGAGAATGAACAGTAGCCCAGTTGAAGATAGTCCAAGAAATGAAAGTCGTATTAATTTCATTTTTCTTGTTGTAGGGCTCAGGAGATGAATTATTAACTGCAGTAAGCTCATAAGAATCATACAGGACAGAAACAGACCCTTTGGTCCAACTCATCCATGTCAACCAGTTGACAAAGCTGTAATTTCACTGTGCAAATAATGTCTCTGTAGTCAAAATCCTGGAACTCCTCCCAAACAGCATCATGGTCTACCTCCCCGACATAGACTGCAGTGGTTCAAGAAGTCAGCTCACCACACCTTCTCAAGGGCAACTAATGATGTCCCACATCCCATGAATGAGTACATATTTAGGAAAAATGCATAGTACCTTGTGGAAAACCTTAAAAGAAACACTCTACATACTTACGTACTTAGAATTGAGACATTGCAAGACAAACCTAAAACTGTCAGCAACCTAGTAAACTATATAGATTCTAACCTAGTTAATTTCTTCATTGTCTCAAACACTGACTTTGTTTAGGGGCAATTAATTAGTTTTTTATTTCATTTTCTATGACATTGCTAATGGTGATTTGGAGCACGTGGTACATTTTACCTTCTCTATACCTTGCTCACTTCTGTAAATCTCTCCTTGCCTATTGACAGATGTGGGGCAGAAATGACCCTGCTTTTGAGCCAAGAGTCCCACCTATTCCAGAGATTTGTCATAACATCTCTGAACAGGTTCATTAAAAAATACTTTACCACATACCCTGACATGTTAGCATTGAAGATACCTCTGGAACTTGGAAGGCAAAACCGAAAAAAGATCAGAGATCTTGAAGTACTAGGATTCGGTATCAGACTGTGACAATATTGTGAGGTAGGTCCATGTGTCTGGGTACCCTTGGAGGACTGTTTCAGGATTCCAGGAGCATAAGTGGAAGTTATGAGATCGTAGACCATTGAAAATACAGTCATGACTTTCTGAGCACTTCAGTGGGAATAAGTCTAGAGTGATCCTGTGGCTCAAGATGAAGGAGAATTATTTTGGAGTGTTAATGCAAAAATTTATCAATTGTGAAGTGTTTTGAGATCTAATGGTTTTGCTGGAAGTTGGAATTAAATATTGGAAGGACAGCTGAAAGAAATGGGATCCTTCAGAAAAGTTAGACTCCAATGTGAGCCAATTTCAGTGGTGCCTTTTGTACCCTCAGGCCTCCACAAATATGAGCGATTTCTTAAAATGCTAACAGCTCACATTGCTTCCAAAGAAGACCAAGTTTAACACCCTTACATTTATAAATCATCAAAAGTTGCAAGGAAGATGTGCCTCATGGTTGTGAATCTACATATGTTGCTGAACGACTTTTGCCGCACTGCCCTGTGGTTCACAAAAACAGCAGCTTGACCTCAACCAAGTCATGAGTTTCATCTGCACATTATTTGAAACTTAAACATACCACAGCAAGTTAGGATCTAAACTGAAGAGTTAACTGCCTTATGATATTTAACACTTCTGGCCTAGAAACAAAACAGTGTTCTATCATACAGTTAAAATCTTTACCATTATAATTTTTTTTTCTTTGTTTCCATCCTTTTTTCTTGATAATTTAATCTTTCTTTCCTTTTTCTTTCGTACCTGTAATTCACCTTATTTTCTTCTTCCACAGTCACCTGTTTTTGTTTCAATCTTTAAATCTCATTATTTACCAGGTTATTTGTCCTGTCAGGGTCCCAAAGGCCTCTCCTCAGCTTGAATTTCTAGAGAATTGCAGAGCTATATTTCTTTTGAGCTAAGAAGTGAGAAAATAATCTGACAGGGCATATTGTGATAAGCCCAACTTCAGCAAAGCCTTGGTAGGATTCTGCAACATTTTCAGCATTTTGTGTATCTGTTGTGCATCATAGAGTCATTGAGATGTCCAGCATGGAAACAGTCCCGTCGGTCCAACTCGTCCATGCCGACCAGATATACTAAATAAATCTAGTCCCATTTGCCAGCATTTGGCCCAAATCCCTCTAAACCCTTTCTATTCATATACCCATCCAGATGCCTTTTAAATGTTGTAATTGTACCAGTCTCCACCTCTTCCTCTGGCAGCTCATTCCATACACGCACCACCCTCTGCGTGAAAAAGTTCCCCTTTAGGTCCCTTTTAAATCTTTTCCCCCTCACCTTTAACCTATGCTGTCTAGTTTTGGACTCCCCAACCCTGGGGAAAACACCTTGTCTAATTACCTTATCCATGCCCCTCACAATCTTATAAGCCTCTATAAGGTCACCCCTCTGACGCTCCAAGGAAAATAGCCCCCGTCTATTCAGCCTCTTCCTTTATCTCAAACCCTCAAATCCTGGCAACAACCTTGTAAATCTTTTCTGAATCCTTTCAAGTTTCGCAGCATCCTTCCGATAGCAGGGAGACCAGAATTGCACGCAGTATTCCAAAAGTGACTTAACCAATGTCCTGTACAGCTACTACATGACGTCCCTACTCCTATACTCAATGCACTCACCAATAAAGGGAACCATAGCAAAGGCATTCTTCACTATCCTCAAAAAAAGCGAATGCGCAAATCTACAGTTATTGCACCAGTACTGTGATGTGACACATTGAAAGCAATGGGTTACCATCTAATGTTACATGAAAGGCCTACAGAACTACCTGCAGAACTGCAAGTCAGTTAACCCGCAAAAAATAATAATTTCATCATTTTAGGCATGAACCAGAAGAGCACATCACTTTTTCACAGACTTAAAAACTTGTGAAAGCAAATTGCATTAAATAGTCCTCACCAGGCAGATAAATCTCCAAAATGAAATAATAAAGTTCACTGAAAACAAAATGTGCTTGCGATCACAACAGGTCAGGCAGCGTCCACAGGGAGAAAGCAAGCTAATGTTTTGAGTCTTGATGACTTTTCATCAGTGTCATCTAGACTTGAAACATTAGCTTGCTTTCTCTCCGGGGGAGCTGCCTGACCTGCTGTGATCTCCAGCATTTTTTGTTTTCAGTTCAGAGTTCAACATCCGCAGTAATTTGCTCCCAACAAAGTTTACTGTTGTGGCATCACAATAAGGTAAACAAATAATGACATGATCTAAAGAAATCCAGCGCAAGTGTAAGACTAAACCGTGCTTTTTTTTAACTTTCAATTCAGAAATCCTGTAAGTGCATGAAGAGAAGAAATTTCACCGTTCACAGCCTAATTTAAGATAAATGTGAAGCGGCCTTCATCAGAATACTGATGGCATTAATAAGTGAGGAAAAGCAACAATGAGAGCAATTAAATTTCAACTCATGTTACAAACAGCTGGGCTCTACTCTTCACTGATCGAACAACAATACAGCAAGAGCCTCTCCTTTCCACTCAGCAGAATTTCCCACTGGGCATTAATTTTGCAGAACTACTTATAGTACATAAATCATGGAAACCTTCCCCTGTGTGCAGAAAGAATGACTCAGCCCATTTCAGAACATATACAAACTTGGCACCAACTCTGTCCACTAAGCAGTCTCCTTATCCTTCCTTTTCAGGAGGTCAAATTCACTTCTATCCAATTGACCTGCTCACCTATGACTATTGAGATGAAACAATTGCCAATTCACTTTCACTCTGAAGCAAATCAGGAACAGAAAAAAAAAGAAGAAAACTAGGATTTCTACTGAGCACAGATCATCCCTCATTCATCCCTCCAGTGAAGAAAGGTTTGATCCATGCCTAACTGGAAAGAAATTCACCTGTTGTATATTTAATGTTACCATCAAACCCATCCTACCCCAACTCAGCAATAACTCAAGCACTTGCCTCATCCAGGTAAAATTTAGTCATCACTGCTACATGCTAAGGAGAAAGATCCAGCTGTGTTATTTCTGGTGAAGGAGAATCTATCTTTCTATCATGTGTCCATTAAATACAGCACAGTAATTATCCCTCTGACTGGAGCCAATCCGTGTTTCCTTCTCCTGTAAAAACCAGAAGAACTGCGAATGCTGTAAATCAGGAACAAAAACAAAGTTGCTAGAATAGCTCAGGAGGTCTGGCAGCATCTGTGAAGAGAGTTAACGTTTCGGGTCAGGTGACTCTTCCTCAGAACTGTTTTCTCCTTCACAGATGCTGCCAGACCTCCTGAGCTTTTCCTGTAACTTTGTTTTTGTTTCCTTCTCCTGTCCCTCCCCTGTCCACTGAGGTTGTTGGTTTGAAGCCTCCTCAGCTGGGATTTTTTTTAACAAAATACTTTATTCTTGGCAAACTCATTGTTAGGGTCTCAACTAGGGTGGAAAATCCTTAAGGAAGAGCTGCAAAACGTAACATTGAGGTAAAAGTTTGCTGGAGATATTCGCTACACTGAATGCCAACTTCACTTGTCTAACAAACCTATGCTTGATAAGTTATTGAGTAAGTTTAGGCCAGAATGATACATTTTTATAAAATGCAGCTGGCCCTTTCCATGAGTTACTTTTCACCTATGATGGCACACTTATCATCTCTATGGGAATATCGGTAATGTTTTCACTTCTATTTGATGGTCTTTAAACTGAATATCTCAAAACCTAATGGATATATTACAATTAAACTAGGTACGCAGTTAGGGTGTGGCTCAAGAAAAAACAATTTTAGCAAAGATGTGGATCATAGAATTTTTTTTAAAGTGTCCGTTAACAGTGTGAGGTTGGGAGGATTGCATTTTTAAAGAATATATTGGTTGCTTTCTGAACAGTGTTGTTGATTGTTAGAGGATGTTGTGGATTGTTTAAACTGCTGTTGTCACAGCTGGCAACCTGAGAGCAGAGTTTTCAGAACAGGTTGTTGGTCTGGATTACCCTAAAAGACTCCTCAGTGAGGTGGAAGCTCTTACTAAAAAGATAGCTTTTATTAGTTTTGTTACAGAGAATCAACCAAGCAGGGAAGACCCTTAAGGAACAGTTGTGTTAGTTAAATAACATCAAATTAACACTGTGCGGTAGAACTATGTGCTGTACAGAGTGCCCTCTTCACTTTTCTGTTTATTTATTTAAGATCAGTCTGACATCCTACCTGGAGACAGTAAGGATTGCAGATGCTGGGAGCTAGAGTCAATAAATGTGGAACTGGAAAAGCAGGTCAGACAGCATCCAAGGAGCAAGGAAGTCAACATTTCAGGCCGAAACCCTTCATCAGTACTGGGGAGGTGGAGGGGAGCCCAGAAATATATGGAGGGAGGGGGTGAGGCTGGGGGGAGGGAAAGTGGGATGGAGATAGGTGGATGTAGTTACTGTGGTTGGACAGTGGGAAGGGTGGAGCAGATAGGTGAGTTGGAAGATGGAAAGGTTGGGAGAGATTTTGAAGATGGTGAAGTCAATATTCAGGCAGTGGGGCTGTGAGCTCCCAAGGTGAAATATCAGGTGTTGTTCCTCCCCCACTCGTACTTGCTTGTGAAGTTTATTTTCACTGGTTCTGTAAAACAAATATTTTACTTTTAGAAGATATGATTGCATTTATTATGTCCAGAAGGAGAATCCATGAACTTGGCTACATGATCATGTTGGTGAGAGGAACCAAAATGGCTTGAGTATTCTTGATATTTGACAAGTGGCAGATACAGGAGTAATTAAAGGCCAAAACAAGGATGAACTCTGAAGATAAAAGCCAAGTGTAGTGATGACCTGACTGCAGCACCATCTGCTGGTCTGACAGGGAACCATGCCAGATTAGCAACAATAATTAACTGGATTTTATGGTATGAATTACAGGGAGATTGTCAGCACCTACCATTATTAGGGAGTAACTTGAACAGTAACATTCAGCATCTGCAAGTTTGATATGCAATTAGGTGTCTCTTTTTTTGCTTGTTTTTAAGCTTCGCTACAAGAACACAGTAAATAAGACCCAGACTAGAATATATGACCCATGAAATCGATTCCCCATTTCAACACAATCATGACTGTTTTTGGGCTTCAATTCCAGTCTTGGACCTGTTCTCCATTAACCTTGATTCTTTGAGAGACCAAAATATATTTATGTCAGTTCTTAAATGTATTCAATGATGCAGCATTGACAACCCCCAGGAGAGAGAATTCCAAGGATTTACAACCCTTTGAGTGAAATAATTTTCCCTCGCCTGAGTCTGAATTGAATGGCTCTTATTCTGAGCCTGTGCCAATGTGTTTTAGATTCACTAAAGAGTGGAATCAATCTTTTCATAGCATAAGCATACAATAATATTTTGCTGTGACTTAGCATTTAAAAACATGAAGAGCATGAAGGTGAGGTATTTAGTCATAAAATATGTCAAAAATCTTGGAGGTTTTCTATTCAGGTGTGAGTGAAATTTTATTAATCAAATATGAGCTTACAAATTCAGAATAGGCCACTCGGTCTTTTAGAACTGCTTTGCCATTTAATAAGATTATGGCTGATCTGATTACACCATATTCCTGCGTAATCTAATAGCCCTTTTATCCCATCTTTTCCTTCATTATTAAGAATCAATCTACCTCTGCTTTCATCATCTTTTGTTGAAGAGAGTTCCAAAGATACTGAACTGTCTTTGATAAAAAATATTTAATCTCTGCCTTAAATGGATAACCTTTTATTTTTTATTAGTGACCCCCGGTTCTGGATTATCTCACTTTATTTGCATGATTTTACCTTCATTAAATATTCAAACATTTACTTCCTGCTTTAAATTTCATGGGGAGGTGATGGCCTAGTGGTATTATTGCTGGACAGTTAATCCAGAGAACCAGGTAATGTTCTGGGGACCCAGGTTTGAATTCCGCCATGGCAGATGGTGGAATTTAAATTCAATAAAAATCTGAAATTAAGAGTGTTGCAATGACCACAAATCCATTGTTGATTGTCACAAAAACCCATTTGGTTCACTAATGTCTTTTAGGGAAGGAAACTGCCATCCTTACCTGGCCTGGCCTACATGTGACTGCAGACCCACAGTAATGTGGTTGATTCTAAACTGCCTTCTGGGCAATTAAGGATGGGCAACAAATGCTGGCCTAGCCAGCAATGCCCTCAAACAGTGGACAAAAAATAAATTCTTGTGTGCCTCAGTCCATAAGCATTTTTCAATCTGTTTTAACAGAAATATTGTTGCTAGCCCTTTTAATACAGATCCCTGATCTCAGTAAAGGTATCAGATGCAGCAGGTTCCTGATAATCATAAATTGTCATGTTACACTCATGGAAGGTCTGTGGCATCCTGTAAATGAAATGAATAGTAATGTTGTGAACACAAAATCTGGGCTATTTCCATGAGAATTTTACTGCAGAATGATACACAATCAGATAAATATTGTCAATAAAAATTCCCAATGGATTCTTATTTAAACAGAACATGTTTCAATGGATCTTGCATAGGTACTTTTAAATTGTAAATAGGAAGACACATTCTCTGTTTTGGCTGTTTTCTCTTAATGCATTCTGTATCTCTCTTCTGGTTTCTGCTATTTCATGGTTAGCTATCCTGTTTGCAGTTATTTGTCTCTTTTTCATGTTTTCCAGTCTGCTGTGTCTTTGTCAGCTTTCCAGATTCCATTTTTGTGTGGAATAAACATAGCTGAATGGAAGGGAAATATTTTTCCAATGTTAGTGCAGAGCACTAGGCCTTGGGAGACGTCTTGTGAGGAATTTAGCTCTAATGTTATGGGTGTCTTTTGAGCTGAAGAATCAGGGAGTCACACGGTCAAAGGCTAAACCTTCAAAATTCTATACACAGGGCAATGATCAAGAACAGATAAATGTTCAGATGGAAGCCAAAAGAGATGAAGAAGGATGAGGAAGGAAAACTCACGTTTGCTTTAATTGGGTGGGAGTAGATGGACAGAGTGGGTAGTGGAAAGGAATACATACTTAGGCTTGGATGGTAAGATACGAATAGTCAGTATGTTTGTTAGCGTGCAGGTGGGAGAAAAAGAGGGAAAAAGTCAGGCTTCAGGCAAGACCTGGTAGAATGATCAAGAGGACAATAAAAAGGAAGGAATGTGTGTGGGGTATCGAAGATGCATGGGATAAAAGATAGGATGAACGGGGGAAGGGAGCTTCTGGACACAGTTACTCAAAGCAGAGTACTTAAAGGGAGAGTAAAAAGGTGTATAATTGCCATTTTATTGTAGAAGTATTTTACAAGTGATATTTGTATAATGGCTGTCATAGATTGGACACAAAGGTACTTGCAGCAGAGGTAAAAGTCACATCATTACAGCAAACTGGCCAGTATATTAAGGGTACAACTGCATTTCTCAAAACATTCCCCTTTCAAAAAAAAATGTATGCACTATCATGTGCAATTAATAGTTATATAAGCTACCCAATGTACATGGTCAAAAGAAAGTGATCATTCCTTAATCAAACAATGTGTTACTTCCGTTCAGTTCCATTTCTGTCTCTGCAAATGCATTGCATACCTAACCTTTAAATTATGCAGGTGACTCAATGGAACATGTGTACATTTTTGTTGGCTATTCATCATTCTGAAGGAAATGCTACTTCTCTGGGTGTTCTTGGCGATTGCTATTACCAAGTTAACTATTGCTGATCCATTACTGTTACTGAGGAATGATTCTGTTGCTGTAATGGATGGTGATTGTTCTGTACTCTGTGCTGATGGTGTGACAACACCTCCCTGATCAGCTGTCTGTCATTAAGGAACAGCTTCTCTAACTTTACATAAATGTCTGTAGGTATGTCTAGTTTATCATGTTCACTTCATGTGGTAACTGCTTAATACAGTTTCATGGTTACCACGTGGGCTGATTTTTCTTGAGAGCTTGAAAGCTTGCTCTCTTACTACTTTGGCAATGACTTGGCAGTTTTACCAAAGTGAAATTTGGCTTTCTGCCATTTAGCTTCATTTGTTACTTACGCCTGTTACTACTTCTGGCTTCAATAAATTTGTAAGAGTCATTTGGTGCAATATAACATTAGCTTTTGGGCTGAACTACTTCTTATACATTTAGTACATATGTTTCTCCACCCAAGGATTGCCTTGTATAAGTCCATGCTGGATTTTCTCAATTTCTTTATGATCCCTTTTGGCACCCTTCACTGTCACCTCAGCCTCTCTTTGACTGGGGAAAGAGTGGAGATGATGCAGAGTTGAATTTCCCAATCCTTTATGAAGCAGCTCAATTCTTCACTAGTGAATTGTCATTTATCACAAGGTCTGAAATGGCAACACAACTGAAGGGAGGTTTCAGGCATTTTACAGTCTCACAGGTAGTTACTAAAGTCAGCTGGTCTAATTCCCAGTAGTCAGATAGCAGTCGACGGCTACACAATAATCAAGTTCCTGAGAGTGAAGAGGACTGCACGAAGATTCATCCGTGGTGTGTCTGGGATGTCATGTATCATAAGCAGTTCTTTACCTTACCTATCTGGATATTTGTTGCAAGCATTGCATTGACTAACATTGCTTATGCTTGACTGCTTGAGCACTTCTCCTACTTTAGTTAGATTCAATTAGTTGACATCATGCATTAAGTTTCTCTTGATGATTCCCTTGGGAATAATAACTCTATTTCCTTTGTACGTGATTTGAACTTAGGCTATCACTTCATCTCTGTATGCCCAATTCACTCTTATAGCAGCACGTGTCCTTCATGCTTTCAGGAGGTCCTTTCATGAATAGATCCTATAACACTTGGGGAGTTACTTTTTTTTTGCATTGTTTCTTCAATTAAAGCAAGTGTATTATCTTTCGGAATCAATGTTTCCACTGCATTGATGACTTAATTTCAGGCATTTTCTTTTGCATATTTTCCTTGGTCAAATTCAGGGTTATCTGCTGAGTCTTCTCTGACAGTTGTGCCAGATTCAGATCATGGTCTGTCATAGCTTCTTCCATCACGAATCCACATCCGTAGGCTAGCAGATCAACTGTAGCAACTTTCTCTCTGAAAAGATCACTGTCTATCTTGTTCTGTCTATGTTAATAGTCTTCTGCAGGAGTTTAACTTACAAATGACATATGTAACCATCTGTCTCACTTGAATGGCATCAGAATTCAGTCAGAAAACTTCTGCTTTCCTCCAGCTTTACTTGCCAGTAACCATCCTTTGCAGAGAGGATGGTAAAGTTCTTTGCCTTGATAAGATGTGGCCAAATTTCTTTAATGTTTTGCACGGGGTAGCGAGATCTCTTCAAAGTTTTGTTGAAATCATAGAATCTCTATGGTGTGGAAGCAGGCCATTTGGCCCATCAATTCTACACCGAACCTCCAAAGAGCAATACACCCTGACCCACCCCCCTACCCAATGCCTGTAACCCTGCATTTCCCATAGCTAATCCACATAGCCTACACATTCCTGGACACTGTGGGCAATTTAGCATGGCCAATCCACCTAACCTGTATGTCTTTGGACATCTTGATCTGTACATACTCTAAGTTTGCCAAGATTTTTCACAGCTCCAAGCTGCTTATCCAGTCTGTAAGAGTTATAACTCTCATATTGCCTTTTCATCCCTCAGCTCTCCTATCTTTGTTTTTCAGGCTGGACTTGAGAGCAGCTGGAACTATCCATGGCAGATGGTGAGTTGGTCTCACACTTCCATCTGTTTGAAGATGATATTCACCAGGAAAACATTCAAGACCTGCAAATACATCTATGTTTTACATATGCACGTAGAAAATATGGGAAAACAGCAATTTGGTCCCCTGAGCTACCTCCAACATTCAATAAGGTCGTGGCTGATGTGTTTGTGTTTTGAATGCCACATCCCCATCTACCCTGTAACCTTTTGATTCATTTCCCGAACAAGCATTGATCTACCTCCACATAAAAACAAAGCTCAATGACCCACAGCTTGGGTATTATGTGTAGTTCTGGAATCCACATTATAGGAGGGATGTGATTGCACTGGAGAAGGTGAAGAGGAAATTTAACAGGATGTTGACTGGGCTGCAGAGTTTGAGCTATGACGAGAGATGGGACAGATTGGAGTTGTTTTTCTTGGAGCAGAGGAGACTGGTGGCAGTACAGGCAGATCATAACATACAAGGATATACAGATCGTAGGGTGTTTAGACAGAGAAAGGCACACAAGGTTACAACTGCACAGGAGGTGCACAAAAAGCGAGGTCAGAAAATTAGAGAGGTCCAGTCAGCAGTCTAATAACAAAAGGGAAGACACTGTTCTTGAACCTGATGGTACGTGCATTCAATCTTCTGTATCTTTGACCTGACAGAAGAGGTTGGAAGAGATTATTACCGCGGTGGGAGAAGTCCTTGATGATGTTGGCAGCCTTTCCACGGCAACGAGAAGTGTAACTAGAGTCCATGGACGGGAAGCTTTCATGATTGTCTCGGCCGTGCACACAACTTTCTGTCGTTTAATACGGTCCTGGGCAGAGCGGTTGAAGTACCAAGCTGTTAAGCACCCAGATAGAATGCTTTCTATGGTGCGTCTGTTAAAGTTGAGTAGAGTTCTTATGGACATGCTGAATTTCCTAAGCTTTCTGAGGAAGAAGAGGCATTGTTGTGCCTTCTTGACCATTGCATCTGCATGGGAGTTCCATGACAGATTGTTGGTTATTGACATGCTCTCAACCCTGTCCTGGGAAAGTGGTGCTCACTGCCTGCAAGAGTAATGGAGGCAGAAATCCTCATAACATTGATGAAGTATTTAGATGTACACTGCAATACCAAGGCATACAAGGATGTGGGCCAACTACTGGAAAATACAATTAGAATAGTTAGAGTGTTGTTTTTGGACCAGCGCAGACGCGAATGGCCGAAAGACCTTTTTTTGTACTGTAGACCTCAATGACTGTGACCCTGCCTCCATTGGCTTCTGAGGTGAGTTACAAAGTCACTCAACACTCAAAGAAAAGGATTCTTCTCATCTCTGTCAAAAAGGGTGACCCCTAATTTTCAACCATTGACTCCAATGATTGTACTGACCCACAAGTGGAAACATCCTTTCTACATGTACTTTAACAGGAATATTCAGGGTCTTATTCACTTTAATCATATTACGCTTTACTCTTTAAATCTCCAGTGGAAACATGTCCACTCTATCCAACTTATCCTCATAAGACAAGTGCACATTGAACTTAATACGTTCTCTGAACTGCTTCCAATGCATTTACATCCTTCCTGAAATAAGGATACCAAAATTCACACAGTATTTGAGATGTGATTTCACCAATAGCCTGTATAACTGAAGAATATCATCCTTACTTTTATGTACAATTCCTCTCATAATAATGGAAAACATCTCGTCAGCCTCCTTGATTTGTGTGCAGTATCTGCATACTAATCTTTTGTGACTCATGCCCTATAACACATAGATCTCTCTGCACCGTGGAATTTTGCAATCATTTTCCAAATAAATAACCAGACAGAGTCAACATGGTTTTGTCAAAGGAAATCATGTCTAACTAATTTATTGGAGTTATTTGAAGAAGTAACTTGTGCTATAGATGAAGGAGAACCAGTGAATGGATTGTGCTTAGATTTCCAGAAGACATTGGATAAGATGCCACATCAGCAGTTATTATGGGAAATAAAAGTGCATGGTGTAGTGGGTAACATAATGGCAATGGATAGAAGATTGACTGGTGAACAGGAAACAGCGAGTAGGAATAAGTGGGTCTTTTTCAGGCCTGTAGGATGTCACAAGTGCCACAGGGGTTGGAGCTGGGACCTGAACTCTTGATAATTTATATACATGATCTTGATGAAGGAGCTGAAGATATGGTTATAGCTTAAATTTGCTGGTGACACAAAGGTAGGTAAGGAAGTGAGTTGTCAAGAGGACATAAGGAGCCTACAGAGGGATAGAAATAGATTAAGTGAATAGGCAAAGATCTGAGAAATGGTGTACAATATAGAAAACTGTCAAATTGCCCATTTTGGCAGGAAGAATGAAAAAGAAACATATTATCTAAATGGCGAGAGATCGCATAGCTCTGAGATGCAGAGAGATCTGGATGTCCTAGTGCATGAATTGTAGATAGTATGCAGATCGAATAGAATGCTATGTTTTATTGTGAGATTATGTTTTCATTATACATGGCATTGGTGAGACCATGTGGAATATTGTGTTCAGCAGTGGTCACTGTACTTATGGAGGATGTGATGGAAGCAGATCAGACAAGGTTTACTAGATTATTATCTGGAATGAGTGAATTGCCTTATGAGGAAAGGCTAGACATACTGGGCCTGTATCCTTTGGAGTGTAGAAGATTAAGAGGTGATTTAATTGAAACATAAAAGATCCTGAAGGGACTTAACTGGGTGGATGTGGAAAGGATGTTTCCTCCTGTGGGAGAATGTTGAAATTCACTAATTTCATCACTCCTTTCCATCTCCTGATTTATAACAATGACAGGAATGATTTTTGTATCCTCTGTAGTGAAGGCAGAGCAAAATATTTGTTTAATTTATCTGCCATTTCCTTATTAACTGCTATTGACTCCCCAATCTGACTTTCCAGAAGATCAACAGTCACTTTACTTGCTCCTTTCTTTTGAAATACCTGCAAAAACACTTGCTTTCTGTTTTTTTTCACATTCTAGGCTAGCTTCCTCTCACTCTAATTTCTTCCTCCTGATAAATCTTTCAGTCTTTCTCTGTGGTTCTTTATATTCTGACCAATCATCTGACCTGCCACTCAGCTTTGTGCAGTTATATGCTTTTCCCAAAGTTTGATGTTTTGCTTAATTTCTTTAGTTAATCACAGATGGTTCTCCCTTGCAAATTTTTCTTTGTACAGCAAACTTTTTATTAACCAGTATTTATGGGACCTGGAATGTTCCAGTTGATTAAATATTCCAGTTGATCAAGAGGTCCTCGTGATCAGTGTAAAAACACACACTAAGTAATAGAAACATAATGCAGGGGGTATACAAATATTCTTTATTTACAGCATAAATCAGTTCAATAATAATGCAGCTTTGCCTTAAATAAAACTTACTGGCAGAGAGGCTTCTCACTTGCACCCTCAACTGACTACTCAGACGTTGTGGAGATCGTGACAATACAGTAAACTTCTGGTTTTTAAGGTGTATAATTTTTGGTTTTAATTTTAAGATGCTGGTTAAAAAAAGTTCACTGTAGAATACACATATTCTGAATATTCTGAAATATCCCATTAAATGTCTGCCGATGCATCTTTATTTATCTATCCCCAAGCCTTGTATGCCTATTTGTTTCAGCTAGCTCAGGTTTCATGCCCACATAATTGCCTTAATTTATATTTAACAGACTAGTCTTGGACCCAGTCTTCTCCCTTAAAAACTTATGTAAAATTCAAGCATATTGTGGTTGCTGCTACCTTGTGGGTCCTTTTACTCTGAGATAATTAGTTAATCCTATCACAATATGAAATACCAAGTATAGTATAACCTTCTCTCTGGTCAGTTCCAAAACATGCTGCTCTAAGGAACTATCGCAAGAGAATTATATGAATTCCTCATCTAGGCCGCTACTGCCAATCTGATTTTTCCAGTTTGAATGTGAATAAATTCCCATGATTATTGTCATCCTTTTCTCACAAGCACCCACTATTTCTTATTGTATACGTTGTCCCACATTGTAGTTACTGTTAGGGAGCCTGTAGACATACCTACAAGTTGCTTCTTTCTACCACTCTTCCTCATCTCCAACCAAATCGATTCCAAATCCTGACCTCCTACACCAAGATTATCTCTAACTGTTACACAAATGTCATCCTTGGAAACAGGGCAAACCCTTCACCTATACTAAGCTTCCTATTTTTTAAAATATCATATATGCCCCTCTATATTCAGGCCCCAATCATTGTCATCCTGCAGCCACATCGCTGAAATGGCAATTAGATCATATGTGTTTACTTCAATGCATGCCATCAGTTTGCTTACTTTGTTACAGATGTGACGTACATTCAGATTCAGAGCTTTTCACTTTTTTGTTATCTTTGTGACATCCAGGCTTGCTTGTTGGTATATTCTTAGCTTTTACATGCTGTCTCTTCCTGCCATTCAATGATCCTCATTTCCCAAATATATTTAGCTCTTACCTTTTCTCCACTCTTGGATCTCAGCAGCTTTGAATTTAGGTGTTCAAGACGGTGTTGGATAATAATTTGGGTAGAAATAATGTGGGGAAAAGTGGGAAATTGGCAACGGATAACGCTGCTCATTTGAAGAGCCAATGCTCTGAATGGTCTCCTTCTACACAGTGCCACCTGTATGATTCTATGATATACCACATCTTTGAACATTTGAAACTTTGCCCCTACTGTTTAGTTTGAAAACCTCTCTACTTCCCTGGTTATGTGGCTCACAAGATCACTGCCTCTGCACAGTTCTGAGTTGACCATTCCAATAGTGTAGGCCCCACTTCCCCCAGCAATGGTGTCAGTGGTCCGTGAACTGGAAACACTTTCTTGTACACCAGTCTTTGAGCCATATATTGATTTGTCTAATTTTATGTATCCTATGCCAGTTTGCATGCCATTCTGGGAATAATTCAGAGATTATAACCTTTGAGGTTCTGCCCTTCAAGTCGGTGACTAGCTGTTCATACAGTCTATGCCGCAGAAGGTTTTGTGCAATAGTAGTGGCCTGATCGCTGAGAAAGGAGACCCAAGTTCAAAACCCACCTGCCCCACAGGGGTGTAAAAACAGCTCTGAAATGATAAATTAAAAAATATCTGCTCTCCATGCAGAACCTCTTTCCTAGTTCTACCAACATAATTGATACCTACATAGATTATGACGACTAGATCTTCCCTCTCCCACTGCATGTTACTTTCCAGCCTTTTTTCCTTTTACCCAGTCTGTTGATTTAATTCTGAATGTCTATCAGTATAATCCGTAAGCTCACCTGATCTCCCATCAACATGATGAACAACCTCAGAACTTGGGGTGATATAATGGCTCAGTGGTTAGCACTGCTGCCTCACAGTGCCAGGCACCTGGATTCAATTCCATCCTTGGGTGACTGTCTGTGTGGAGTTTGCACATTCTCCCCATATTTGTGTTTCCTCTGGATTTTCTGGTTTCCTCCCACGGTCCAAAGATGTGCAGTTTAGGTTGATTGGCCGTGCTAAAGATGCCCCGTAGTGTCCAGAGATGTACAGGTTAGGTTAATTAGCCATGGGAAGTAGGGGTGTTATGGGGATGGGGTTGGTCTGAGTGGGATGCTCTTTGGAGGGTCAGTGCAGCATTGTGGAGCTGAATGGCTTCTTTCCACACTACAGGAATTCCATGATAATTCTGCACATGTTCATAGCTTCCCTTTAAGCAGACATGCTGTCCTGGCAGGACCCCCTATACCTAAAGCAGTTCTGCCTCCAATTAGATCAAATTTCACAGTTCAAACTCCCAGAATTCAGCTAGATGTTTCAGTGTGTCACTTATTGATCAATAATTTCTCTCTCTGAATTCTGATTTGGATCACCTACGCTACATACGTAGCATTAATACAGGGTACAACGTTTATCATTCAATCAGAGAGTATTATAATACAGAAGAAGGCCCTTTGGCCCATCATGTCTGTGCCGCTTATTAAGTGCTTTTGTTTCAAGCTTTCAAAATCTAACCTGTCCAGCTGTGCTATATCTCAGTGAGGTCTAAGGTGCCATATAGCTTGTTGCACTCTTTCCCCAATACTGACAGCAGAGTTGCTAATCCAATCTGCACAAGTCTTTTACAGAATTAAATGCTGTTTCAGAGTTTTACCGCTCAAAGTGAAAATCTTCCAATTCTGTCTCACATCTCCTTTCATTACCACAGCAGCAGGGTGTGGAAAATGCGTAATAGAAACTGAAAGAACTGCGGATGCTGTAAATCAGGAACAAAAACAGAAGTTCCTGGAAAAGCTCAGCAGGTCTGGCAGCATCTGTGAAGAAAAAATCAGTTAACGTTTTGGGTCCGGTGACCCTCAGAACTGGTGGTAGCTGAGAAAATGTCAGTCTCTATGCAGAAAATAGGGACGGGGGTGGGGTAGGGAGTAAACGTTAGGGTAGAGCCCAAAGAGAGAAGAACAGTTTGACAGACAAAGGAGTTGATAACGATCGGCTGGGAGGGTGAATAGTTGTTAATGGGGATTGTTAGTGACTAACAATAGATAGTGTGTAATGGCAGGCTATGTGGTAACAAGGCATGGTGTATGGGATAGCGGGCTAGGACATGGGAAAGTTGAGGCCCTAAAATTATTGAACTCGATATTGAGTCCGGAGGGCTGCAGGGTCCCCAAGCGGAAAGTGAGGTGTTGTTATTCCAGCTTGCAATGAGCTTCACTGGAACATTGCAGCAAGCCAGAGACAGAAGTGAAGGAAGTGTGGACCAGGGTGTCCCGGAGAGAACGGTCCCTGCAGAAGGCAGACAAGCGAGGGGGATATGTGTCTGATGGTGGCATCTCACTGGAGGTGGCAGAAATGGAGTCTGATGATCTTCTGGATGTGGATGCTGGTGGGATGATAGGTAAGGACACGGGGAACCCTTTTGCTGTTGCAGGAGGGAAGAGAAGGGGTGAGGGAAGAAGTGCGGTAGGTGGGCCGGACCCAGTTGAGGGCCCTGTCGACAACAGGGCTGGGGAATCCTCGGTTGAGGAAGAAGGTGGACATTTCGGGGGCTCCGTTGTGAAAGTTGGCCTCATCTGAACATATATGGAGACGGAGGAACTTTACAGGAAGTAGTGTGTGAAGATGTATAAAAACCAAAAGAACTGCGGATGCTGTAAATCAGGAACAAAAACAAAGTTGCTGGGAAAGCTCAGCAGGTCTGGCAGCATCTGTGGAGAAGAAAACAGAGTTAACATTTCGGGCCTGGTAACCCTTCCTCAGAGGATGTATAGTCCAGGTAGCTGTGGGAGCCAGTGGGTTTATGGTGGATATTAGTGGCCAGTCTATCCTCAGAAATGTCGAGGAAGGGAAGTGAGAAGTCAGAATAAGACCAGGTGAAAGTGAGGGCAGGGTGGAAATTGGAAGAAAAATCTATGAACTTTTCCAATTCACAGCATCCACATCCAGAAGATCATCAGATGCCATTTCTGCCACCACCAGCGAGATGCCACCACTAGGCACATATTCTCCCTTGTCCACCTTCCACAGGGACCGTTCCCTCCAGTACACCAAGGTTCACACTTCCTTCTCCACCAACAATGCCCTCCACAGCCCTACGGCACCTTCCCCTGTAACCAGAGAAGGTGCAACACTTGCCCATTTATGTCCTCCCTCCCCAGTGTCCGAGGGCCCAAACATACCTTCCAGGTGAAGCAACACTTCACCTGCACTTCCCAGTATCTAGTCTACTGCATTTGCTGCTCACAGTGTGGTCTCCTCTACATTAGGGAAACAAAGCGTAGACTGGGTAACTGCTTCGCAGAACATCTACATTCTGCTCGCAGAAAAGACCCTGAGCTACCTGTTGCCTGCAACTTTAAGACAACACCCTGGTCCCTGGCCAACATCTCTGCCTCTGGCTTGCTGCAGTGTTCCAGCGAAGCTCAATGCAAGCTGGAATAACAACACCCCATTTAATGCTTGGGGACCCTGCAGCCCTCCGGACTCGTTATCGAGTTCTATAATTTTACGGCCTAAACTCTCCCATGTCCTAGCCCCTACCCTACACACCAGGCTTTGTTATCACATAACCTGCCATTACACACTACCTACTGTTAGTCACTAACAGTCCCCATTAACAACTATTCACTCTCCTGGCCAGATCGTTATCAACTCCTTTATCTGTCCGAATAAAAACCGAAAGAACTGCAGAGGCTGTAAATCTGGAACAAACGTTAACTTTATTTTTTCCTTCACAGATGCTGCCAGACCTGCTGAGCTTTTCCAGCAACTTTGGTTTTGTTCCTTTGTCTGTCCAACTGTTCTTCACTCTCTTTGGGCTCTACCCTATCATTTACTCCCTATCTCACCCCTCTCCCTATTTTCTGATATAAACTGACGTTTTCCCAGCTACCATCAGTTCTTGGGAAGGGTCACTGGACCCAAACTGTTAACTCTGATTTTTTCTTCACAGATGCTGCCGACCTGCTGAGCTTTTCCAGCAACTTCTGTTTTTGTTGTGAGTGGAACATGCATAGCCATTTTCATTCACCTGGAAATTCAAAAGTGACGAACTGCATTTTTGAAAAAATTCTTTCAGTATCTTGCTGTTTTATAGTTCTGAAAATCTGCACATTTTGATCCACTCTGGCACCATGTTTCAAATGATGTGTATTACACAATCATGTGTTTTTGTAATTTTGCTGCAGAAATATTTCTGCTCTACTATGAATTCTGCTGCTGCTTAAATGAATTGAAACTGGAAGTCCCAACTCACATCCAGCATTTGGGCAGACACAGCAAATTAAGCATTAGTCTATTTAGTAAAAGGAGCTTCATCAGCAGGTATGTCTTTCGAAGATTCTCTTTCTATAATTCAAAACACTTGACATTTGGGAAAGTCAGCATCCTAACTCTTTATTTGTAAAACATAAGGTCATTTGCCAATCAATTAATAGCATCAAAAATGGGACATTTATGGAAGTTTTGGAGCTTTACTACCTTAGTGGGGAAGGCCTGAAGGTAACCTCACTAAATCTCTGTTTGAAAGAATTGAAAGATATTATTAAAGGGTCATCAAGCCCAAGAAGATTTGTGGTGACTGAAACAGATAATGGACCAGTGGATTGGGGTGAGGGATGGCGGCATTGTTATTCTGTTTGGGCTGAGATACTCACAAAGATGGGCACTCAGGCCAGTTGAAAAACCCCATCAAAAATTGTCGAGATATCATGTGGTTTTGGAGAGAAATTTAAGGGCTAAAGACCAGAGACATGAGGGGTCCATTGAAACGGCTGTCAAAGTGAAAAGCAGTAGAGGCACCACAAACAGCTCGTCCTGAATAGTTAGCCTGTTGAGCCCTGAAGAGTTAGAACAGTATCACAAAAACAAAAAACAGAAAGTACAGCACAGGAACAGGCATTTTAACCCAATAAGACTGGGCTAATACATGATGCCTTTCTAATCTAAAATCCTTTTGCCTCTATGCTATCTGTATCCCTCTCATCCCTGCCTATTCATCTATCTGTCAAGTGGCTCTTATTCATTGCTGTTGTACCTGCCTCCAGTACATTCCAGGCACTTACCACCCTCTAAGTTTAAAAGAAAGCCTCTCACGTCTCCTTTATACTTAACCCCTTTTACCTTAAACCAAATCTCCTAATAATTGACATTTCTACCCTGGGAGAAAGACTCCAACTAGGCATTCTATCCTTGCCTTTCATAATTTTGTAAACTGCTATCACGTTACCCCTCATCCATTGACCTTTAAGTGAAAACAAACCAGTTTTGAGGAAGTGTCACCAGACCCAAAATGTCAACTCTGATTTTTTCTTCACAGATGCTGCCAAACCTGCTGACCTTTTCCAGCAATTTCTGTTTTCGTTCCACGTTTGTCCAATCTTTCCTCATAGCTTACACCCTCCAAACCAGTCAACATCCTGGTAAACTGTTTCCATACCCTTTCCAAAGCCTTGACATTCTTCTGGTAGTATGGCAACCAAAATTGTATGAAATATTCCAAACTTGGTCAACTAACGTTCTATACAGCTGCAACATGACATGCCAATTTTTACACTCTGTGCCCTGACCAATGAAGGTAACCATGCCATATGTCTTCTTGACTACCTGACTGACTTGTGCTGCCACTTTCTGGGAACTGTGGACCTGTTCACCTAGATCCCTCTGTATGTTGATGCATTAGACCCAAAATGCATCACCTCTCATTTGTCCTGATTAAACTTCATCTGCTATTTCTTTGCCCAAGTCTCTAGCCTATTTATAACCTGCTGTATCCTCTGGCAATCCTCCTCACTGTCTGCAGCTACTCTGATCTTTGTGTCATCCAAGAGCTATCATGCAATCATGTTTGACTAATAGGAGGTGGATCTGAAACCATAGAGT